CTGTCGGTGACTCTGCTGGCCCTGGCGCTGCCGGCGAGCCGCACCACCACCTCGCGGCGCACGGCTCGCACCACGGCTACTCGCCAGCCCAGCCCGACGTGGCCAACAGCGCGACGCCGAGCAAGGTTTCGACGGCCATGTCATCTCCGCCGAGCTCCTTTACTCGAGCATCCCAGGACGAGCGAGAGGCGGCTGAGGATGGCGGCGGCGGCGACGACTGCGCCACGCCCGCGGGCTTGCAGGCGGCAGAGGGAGCGCGTCGACCCAGCTCGTCAAAGGAAGACGTGAGTGCCGGCCTGTCCTAAGGCGGATCGCCAATCCTCGGAGCTCGGAATGCTGACCGTGTTCGCGACCTCGGCCCCCGTCCCTCTGGCCGCACGCAGGAGTACATGAACCTCGGCATCGTCGCAGCGTCGGGCCTGGGTGGCACGCTTTCCTCGCTCGCAACGTCGTGCTCGTCGGCACAGACATCGGCACTGGCACCGGCGCCGGCGATTGCAGAGGTGCCGATCAAGGCGCCCATCAACAGCGGCAGCAGCAGCAGCAGCACGACCTGATTCCCTTCCTCTCCTCGAGCCTTCACTGCCCGCACTTGCCTTCTCTCTTGCACAGTCCGCGGCACGATACGCGTCGTCGCCGCGCAGGCATGATCCTGCCCGGCAGGGATTGAGTCCGTTCCGTATGCCAGCAAGCCAGCCAGCCCGCGCGGCCCCACTTCCGACCTGCCGATCCGACCTTCATGCCCGCCTGCACGCATCCACAGGGACGCCAAATTGACCTTGTCCCGCCCGCCTCGCTCGCTCGTTCCACGTTCTCGTCATTGCTGTCACTGTTGCTGCTGCTGCTGCTGCTGCGCACCGCCGTCATCGTTGACCATCGGCCAAACAAAGCGGGACCAGCACGGCGACGAGAGGGGAACGTTCATCTTCCTCCCTCTCTCCCTGCCTCCCCAATCCTTCACCTCTGCCTTGGCTTCCTCTCTCTCTCTCTCATGCATGTACCAAAAGGCCTTTTTTCTCTCCCCGTCTCCTCGTCTTCGGCCCCCTCTCTTTACCATGCAGGCAATCCAGGGCAAAGGCAGGCCATTTCCGTGCAACCCCGCCCTCAGACTCGCCCCGGACCGGAAAGACGTTTGCACCTCCCGCCGCCCGCTCGTCGGGTTTGACGAGGTACAGCGCCGCGCCGCGCTCGCCTTGCTTGTCTTTCTGGATTTGGAATTGAGCTGGTGCGGCGTCTGGATGGGTTGGCGGATAGCATACAGGAGGACGGGGTCGATTTGGATCGTATCGTATCGCATCAGAGGGAGGGGGGAGAAGGGGATAGCAAGAGGGAGGAAGGGGCAGGAGAGGCTCGAGGCTGCATTTCAAGGGGATTCGATTGGGCGGAGCGGGGCGGGGCGGGGAAAGGGGTCGAAAGTGGCGGTGACGGGATAAGATAGCGAGCGAGCGAGCAAGGTGGCCAAGCTCATTGGCACAGAGGACCTGCCGAGCCAGGAGAGAAGGACGGGCCATCAGAAGACGCGCATCACGTCCAGTAGGATCTGGTCGAGCGTCTGTGTATCGATCGAGGCGAGGCGGGCAAGGGTCAGCTGGTGTGAGTCAAGAAAAGTCGTCGTGTTGCCACATCACGACTGCGGCACGGCACGGCTCTGCTCACCTCGTCAATCGTGCCGAGCTGCGTCGAGATGCTGCCGTACGCCTCGCGCGTCTTCTGGTGCTCGACAAACGGCATCTGTGGCGCAAACAGGCCGCCCGCCTCGGGGCGCAGCGACTCGTGCTCGGTGTCGGCGAGGAGCCGGTGCGCCAGACGCGTGCTCGGCCGCCCGTTGATGTCGCCCGAGATGCTGCTGGTGCTGCCGTGGGTGAGGAGGTGCAGCCGGCGCGGATCCCGCCGCGCTGCCGCATCGACAATCGTGTACAGGTGGTCGAGCCCAATGTCGTCGGCGGAGGAGGCAAACGCCAGGGACGACGGCCGCCCATCGGCCCCCGAGGAACCCGGCGTCACGGCCCCGACGGACCGACCGGATCGCGAGCCCGTGCCCGTCGACGATCCCGCCGCAAAGGCTGCGCCGTTGGCGCCACCGGCGACCAAGGTCGACATGGGGGTCGGCATCGTTGTGTTGGTGTTGTGCGTGGCAGCCGATCCGGTGCCGATCGTCAGCGGGCTGGCAGTGTCGCGCGAGTTGGACATCTCTGAGCCAATCGACGTCTGCTTCCGGTGGCTCGGCGCAGCCCTGCTGCCGGACACTGCTGGTCCAGATACGGTGGTCGGCGTGCCACGGCCGCTTGGATGAGATCCGCCGATGGGCACGGGCGACGGTCCGGCCGTCCGACTACCAGCCCGCGCCGTGCCCGAGGAGACCGAGTCGGGCGCAGGCGAGCGCGAGTTTGACGGTGGCCGAACGTCGGCGACGCGGTTGAGCACCTGATCGATTCGCTCCTCGATGGCCGAGTCTGCCGTGTGTGGGTTGCGCACGAGCGTCTCGAGCAGGTCGCCGCCAGGCGAGGCTGAGCCGGATGCCGTGCCCGACGGACCGAGGTTCGGCGTCGAGGCCTTTGTCGAGGCACGAGCCTTGTTGCCACCGATCGACAGCGGCGCCACAGACTCCATCGGCTGCGTAGGGGGCGACTGGAGGTCGTAGTGAACGTCTTCCAGGCTCAACGGGCTGGTGATGCCGGGCGAGCTTGGTGCGCTCGCATACTCGTCGAGCGTCAAGTCGGTGCTCTTCTTGCTGAGCGCCGGTCTGGTCGCCGTCCCGGGGCTGAGAGAGCGTGCGGCTTCGGTCGAGTCCGACAGCCTCTGGTCTTTCAAGACGTCCTCGATGATGTGGCTGATGTCCCGTTCTTCGCCCTCGGCCGGCAAGTACGAGTAGCGGAACTTGCCCGTGTCTCTCTGCTTCGAGCTTCGGATCCTCCCTTGGTCCGCCAAGACGACGTCGACGCCCTGCTCGGCATTCCGCTGTGCGCCAAGCACGGCGGCCCTCCTCTCGTGCGCCGCCGCTCGCTGTGCCGCGATGATCTCCTGCCGGCTCATGCCCTTGGTCTCTGCTGCGCCGAGAGCGGGATGGTCGGAGCTGGAGCTCGCCGCTCCGTTGGCACGGAGGGTGCCAGCCGCTGCCGCGAAGCTCTGGCTTTCCATCTTGCGCCGCTCCTCCTGCTTGGCGAGCAGCACGTTCTCGGTAGGACTCAGCGACCGGGCGCCCTTCCACTTGTCGCTCGGCTGCACCTGACGCAGGATGAAGATGGGATCCGTCGACTGGATGTCGTCCGAGGCGCCCAACAGCTGAGAGGCGTCGAGGCTCTTGCGCTTGTTGTTGTTGCCGCCCGAGACCGTCTTGAAAGCAGGCGGCTGGCTGTAGGCGTCGAGAATCTTGCTCGTGGGGCCGAGCGGTCTCTGTCCGTTGGCGTCCTCGACCGCAAGGCCGTACTTGACGTGGAGCCGGCTCTTGCGGCGCGAAGGTCGGTCTTCAACATCGTCGCCTCCCTCGACGACGCCTTCGGCGATACCGAATCGGTCCAGCCCGGATTCGACCACCTCGGCGACGGTCGTGTTGCGCGGGAACGTGAGGATCTTTTCGCGGAAATCCTGTGGGACGCCCTCGGCGGGTTCGCGGTATTGCGGCGCTCGCTGCTCGAGCGCGTGTCGCGGAACGAGCGCAGTCGTTTGCGGGTCAAACACGAGGCCGTCGGGCAGGTCGGCGGGGAAGACGACGAGCCTGAGCGAGAATTGCGCCGTCGGCGACTGGATCGTCTCGACCGTGTCGGCAGAGAGGCTCGAGGTGTGGCTGCCCCGCTGACCGTGTCGAGCCGGGCCAAGACTGGCCGAGTGGTTCGAGTCGCGCGACTCGCTATGATCGTTGCGATCGACAGATCCCTCGTGATCGCCATTGATCGAGGGCGGCTGGCTGGCATAGTCTGGAAGGCGATCCTTGCGGCTGATGTAGAACTTGACTGCGTGATCGTCGCTGAAGTCGTTGCCGAGCCTGGCAATCGCAGGATGCGTGCTGAGGTTGGACGAGATCGACGAGATTGACCCGACGCTGGAGCGCTTGACGCTGGGCACCGTGACGCGACCGTCGGACATGATCTCCGTCAGCTCGTTGAAGAGACGCAGCGGGAATTCGCTCTCGTCCAAGGGCCGCTCGCTTCCCTCGAGCCTCTTGATCGTCAGCACGTATTTGTCCCTCTCGTGCTCGGGCACGGCAAACCGCTGCAGCGCCTGCGTCAGCAGATGTGAAGAAGGGGTGCCCTCGTTGAGCAGCACCGTCTTGAACGTCGACTCGGACTCGATGCCCTGGCCGGCAAAGACCCGCATCACGCTGAGCATCGGCGTCGAGCCGGAAGGACCGATGAGGCTGCCTGGCCTAGCCGGTTTACCTGTTCGCGAGCCTGCAGCGTGGAGGGCGTCTCGGCTGGCTCGGACGTTCTCGGAATCGTTGGACGGCCGCATCGAGAGGAACTGGCGCTGGTACGCCTCCTGCTGCGCACGGTCCCTCTCCTGTACCGCCCGACCCATCCCGACGCTCTGACCTGGTGCGAAGCTTGCATTGTTGGCAGGAGCCGCACCATAGCCTTGCGGTGTCGGGGCGGCAGCGGGACTGGCGCGGCCACGACCCGGGCCAGCGAAGCTGTCGTCCGAGCTGCGTCCGGTGATGATGCTGTCGCGATCCTCGCCCCCAAAGCTACCGCTCTTACGGTCCTTCTTGTCTTTCGACCGCGAGAAGAGACTGAATACGCCGGATCTCTTCTTTGCCGACTTGTCGTCGCTGCCGGCCTCGGAGAGATCATCTCCAGCCTTGGATCGTCGGTTGCTCTTTCGCTTGTCATCGCGCTTGGCGTCTGGCGACGTAACAGACGCCGGGCGATCGTAGGAGAGCGTGTTGGAAACGGCGCTGGCGTCCGAGGCGGAGCGGTCACGATGCGCCTGCACCTGCGATGGCAGGAAGCCGTTGGAGCTGTGAGTGCTGAGCCGGCTCCCGCTGGGTCCAGCGGCCTGATCGTAAGGCATCCCTGCCGAGCTGACGCTGGAGATGGAGCGATCGCCCGATGTCGATCGAGCATGGCCTGGCTCTGGCTGCATCGGCGCGAGTCCTTTTTGTTGATGCTGCTGTTGATACTGCTGCTGCTGATATTGCTGCTGCTGCTGCTGTTGCTGCTGCTGCTGAGCCAGCTGCTGCTGTTGTCGCTCTTGCTGCTGCTGCTGCTGCTGCTGCTGCGCCGATTCTTGCCACTGCTGTTGTCTGGCCGCAGCTGGATCGCTTTCCCCGCCGCGGGGTGCGGGCTGACTGCTTCCGGTGCCTCTTTGGGATTGCGAGCCAGCTGCCGGTCCGGCGCGCTGCTGGGACGTGCCCTGTTGCGAGCGACCATGCTCGTCGGCGACGTTGTCCTGGTGGGTGGACCTCGTCTGTTCGGGCTGCTGCGACTGCTGGCGGTACGAGCCGTCTTCAGCCGCCGTCACGCTGCGGTCCTCGCCATCCTGAGCCGCATTCTGGACCTCCTGCTGCCGCTGAATCCTCTCGGCCTCGCCTCCGTCCCAGCCCATGCCATCGTCGGGCTCCATGCCGGCAAAGGCGTCTGCCTCGGCCTCTCCGTCGGTGCTCATCTCCTCGTCCTCGTACTCGTAGATCGGATCGCCGTTCTCGTCAAGCTCGATGATGTCGTCCTCGTCGTACTCGCCCTCTTCGGACGAGTATTCGTTGCCGCTGTGCTCGTAGTGGGTCGACGGCCCAAAGACGACGCCCCTCTTGTTGCGCTTCTGCTCCTTTGTCAGTGGCGCTGGCGCCCCCAAGGCCCGCCTCGACAGGGCGCTGAGCTTGCCCGAGTGGACCGAGAGCCCGCTGGTTCCGGTGGCGTGCCGGGCCTTGAGGAGGTGGCTCTTCCAGATCTTTTCTGGCACCTGGATGTGATCGTCCTCTGTGGCACTGGTGAGGTCGACGTTCCTGTGCTTGTTGAGCCTGGCCAGGCGCTCAAAGGGGGTCTCGATGTTCTCGGCAGGAATGTAGCCGACCTCTTGCGTGCGCAGCACGCGCACCAGCCACCAATAGCTGTTGCTGTCGTCGAGCAGCGTGAGGTGGTTGCCCTTGTGCACTGTAGCCTGACCCTCGATATGGGCGACAAAGTTGTGCAGCGCGTATACGAGGTCAAAGTCGATGTTTTCGTCGATCGAGGGGCTCGACGACAGCTCGACGTCGACGTCGTCCTCGTCGTCGTCGAGGTCGTGATCGTCTTCGTCGTCCTTGTCGTCGTCGTACATGAGTTCGTCTTGGAGCCCCTCGGAAGAGCTCCTCTGTCGCATACCGTACTCGCCCGCATCGTCGGAGGAGTCCGAGTCCCGCTCGGCATAGCGGTCCGACGGCTTCGAGCGCTGCTGCTGCTGCTGCCCGCCTTGCTGCGACTGGCGCGGGCGCTTGCCGCCGTGGCTGTTGTCCCGCGTAGCCCTTGCTCCGGCACTGCCGCTGCCAGCCCTCAGCCGTCGAGTCGCAGCGGCGTAGGCGTCCTGGCCGTCGTCGTCACTGCTAAAGCCTCCATAGTCCTGATCGCCAGTGCCGAGGTCGCTATCGAGATGTGATTCGACGGTGTAGGCGCTGTCGGCGGATCCGCCGGGAGCGGCAGCGGCAGGAGGAGCTTGAGCAGAGGCTCGGATCTGCGTCTGGGCCTTCGAGGCGATGGCGGCCTGGCGCGCGCGAGGTGTGGTGCTGGTGCTGGATCCGCCGATGCCGATGTTGCTGGTGGGACCCACGTTGACGTCGAGCGTCAGGGCCGGCTTTACCCGCGCCATCAGGTTCCGCTACCCGGGAGGGTGGGGTATGGATGGGTGCGGCGGTGGCGGTGCTGGGCGTCAGCGGACGGGCGAGGGGTCGAGAGGGCTGGGGTGACGGCGGGCAGGACGATGCGATCGGATGGGCGTGTCGGAACGGTAGGTTGTGGTCGTCAAAAACGGGAGCGCGCTCGTGCGAGAAGGGTACGAGATGCCAGATCGTCGTTGTCTCTCGGTGAATTATCCGTGGTAGAAGCTGGTCGAAGTCGGTAGTGGGGTCGCTTTGACGATGGCGGTAGAAGATGGGCGGATGCGCTGCTGCCGTGGAGCCAAGATCCTGTGCTTGGTCGATGTCGATCAGGCAAGCGTGAGGGCGATGCGGCGGATAGGCGCGAAGGTGTGGTCGAGAAGAGCGGCGACCGGGTGATGGTATCGAGGGGCGTGAAGGGGGCGTCGAATGGGTGGATGGCGAGGGGTCAGTCGAGCGGATGCCCCTGAAGAGGTGCCTCGTGAATGGCAGCACCGAGAGGCAGCGATTATCGACGATGCTGAGAAGAGGCTGGCCTGATTTCCGAGGGCAAGGTGGCTGCGGCGCGCGCGCGAGCCTCTTGTCGGCGCTTTTTGTGTGCCCAAACAGCAGGCACTGCCCGCCAACTACGTCAAACAGTTGATCGTGACGTGCCAGCCGTGATCCGAGCGGTGTTTCCTTCGAGCGAGGCAGGCGGCCGAGCGTGGGAGCGTGCGTGGCGGCGTCGTGTCGTGATGTGATGTGCTTTGTGCCTGACGGAAAGAGGTCGAGGAGTGCGTGCGGCGCTGCCGTCGGGAGGATGATGGTGAGCAGACGGTGCGGAGGGCACAGAGGCAGGGAAGGCCGAAGCCAGGCAGGGGGGGTCGACGAGACGGCGTCGGCTGCGAGCGAGCAGAGCAGCGGCCCACGAGCCCAAGCAGCACCGAGTCGAGCAGGTGCGCCTCGGAGCCACGCCGGTGCAGCAAGCAAGGCCAGGCCAGGTCCCCCCCTTTTCAGGCCAGGCCAGGCCAGGCCAGGCCAGGCCAGGCCAGGCCAAGCTGTGAAATCGGGGATGCGCGTTTGACCTGGTCCCCGACTGGGTCGATCTGGATAAAATTTGACAACCAGCCCTTGCCCCCTGGCTCTTTTCTAACTATCTGCTGGCCTCGGACTCGGACCCAACCCACGCACGCACACGCACGCCCAGCGACAGGCAGCCGGCAGCAGGCAGGTGGGCACCAAGCAAGCTTGAAGCAAAGGTCAGGCAGGCCACGGCCCCTGCCAGCTCATTTACGCGTCCAAAGCGCGACCCATGGGACAGGGAAAATTGGTGGGCAGAAGTCCATCACTCCAACGTGACTGAACCCGACCCCTTCCCTTCTCGCCGTCTTTTTCGACGGACTCTGTCCGCTGCGCTCGGATCGCATCGGAATATCGACCCCGGCCTGCTCCCGTTGCCGACTCTCGCGCCACCGCCCACTGCACTGTCATTGCTTTATTGCCATGAAGGTGAGTAGTGTCGATACGGCAAGCGGATGATGCCGTTGGCCTTTGCTCACCGACCAGCCCCTTGCCTGCCCTTGCACGCCGAATCCCCCCACCACCAGGTCGCGGTCGAGGGCTGCTCGCATGGCGAGCTCGACGCCATCTACGCCTCGATCCTCCGCGCAGAGCGCGAGCAGGGCTTCGCCGTCGACGTCGTCCTCCTCTGCGGCGACTTCCAGGCCATCCGCAACCATGCCGACCTCCACTGCATCGCCGTGCCCGAAAAGTACCGCAGCCTCGGCGGCTTCCACCGCTATTACTCCGGCGAGCTCGTCGCGCCCATCCTCACCATCGTCGTCGGCGGAAACCACGAGGCCAGCAACTACCTCTGGGAGCTCTACCACGGCGGGTGGGTCGCACCCAACATCTACTATCTCGGCGCTGCGGGTGCCGTAGACGTCGGCGGCCTCACCATCGCCGGCGCCTCCGGCATCTTCAAGCAGCCCGACTACAACAAGGGCCGCTTCGAGAGGCTGCCCTACAACAACAATACCATCCGCAGCACCTACCACACCCGCAGCTACGATATCCACCGCCTCAAGCTGCTCGACCGGCCAGACGTCATGCTCTCCCACGACTGGCCCAACACCATCGAGCAGCACGGCGACACCGCGAGTCTCATCAAGCGCAAGCCCTACTTCAAGTCTGAAATCAGGACCGAGACGCTCGGCTCGCCGCCGCTCCTCGAGCTCCTCAAGGCCGTCAAGCCGCCCTACTGGTTCTCGGCGCACCTCCATGTCAAGTTCGCCGCCCTCTACGATCACGACCGGGCGGGGGCGGCCAACCCGCCCAGCGCGGCCGCAGCGCCGCAAGCACCACCGGGATCCAAACCCGAGGCCCTTGACGCCAATTTCCACCTCGATGACGGCGCCGGAGGCGACAAAGGAACGCCGAATGACGACGCAAGCGGGGCGCAATCCGCACCGAAGGGCGCTGCGGAGAACAAGACACGCTTCCTGGCGCTCAGCAAGTGTCTGCCAGGCCACGACTTCCTGCAGTACCTCGACATCCCCGCACCGGGCGACGACGAGCTGGCGCAACGGAAGCAGAGGTCATCGACGAATCGAGCCATGCCCACATTCCGCTTCTCGAAGCGCTGGCTCGCCATCACGCGCGCCCTCCACCCTCAGCTCTCGCTCAGCATGCGGCAAGCGCCGCTGCCGCCAGTCGACGACGCTGCGCTCCTGCAGAGCATCGAGAGGGACGAAGCCTGGATCGAGGCGAAGCTCGCGTCGTTACAAGGGGAGCAGGATGCAGTGGGACCCAGCGACGATGGTGATGCGAAGGCGGTCACGCCGCCAAAGCACCCTCTCGATGTGCTTCGCGTGCAGCACTTTGTCAGAACAGCACCAGCCCCCTTTGAGCAGGGCGGGCTGCTGACGGGGCAACGTGAGTATGCGCCGTCCGGTGCGCACGCGAAAGGCAGAAGATTCTGGTCGATCCCTGACCGACCTTGTCCCCTTGGCATCTCCGTCCTTCGCCCGATGAACAGCGTCCTGGTACACGAATCCACAGACGGAAGCTCTGTGCCACTTTCTCGAGATCCCCAACAAGATCAATCCACGGCCCACGGGCATGCACGGTCCCCCGGGCGGCGGCGGGATAGGCCAGATACCTTCGCCCGTTCCTCAACGCCTCGACATGGGACCCGACGGGAGGCCGCGCTTCTTCCCAGCCATGGCGGGCGGGCTACCAGGTGGGCCGCCGTTTCTGCCCGGGCCCGGGCCGTTTCCGCTCGCCGCGCCTGGCGGACCACCAGGCGGGCCATTTCTGCCCGGACCGTTTCCGCTCGTCGCTCCTAGTGGCCCACCGCCACCGCCGCCGCCCCTCCATTGCGCACCCGGGCCTTTCAACCCTTCGTTCAAGAGGTCGTGGGACCACGACGTGGCACCCCCTCCTGTCGGTGCCGGGCCAGGACCGGCTGGGCAGGCAGACACTGCGGATCCAAACGCCCTCGACATTGGCGTCGACGACTTCGATGACGACGACGACGAGCCGGTGGATGAGACGGCTGATCCGCCTCCTTTTGCGCTGAACGAGCCTCTGAAGCGATGGGCAGAGGGGAGCGGCTGATGCGCTTCCTTTCCCGCACCTCTTCGCGCTCCTGGTCCCCGAGCAGACATCCACTCTGTGTCCGTGGGCGGCGCCGGCATCGGAAGACCCACGGAGCACGTTACACATCGTCGCTACTTGGCATTCCGTCGCGCCTAGATCATTCTGCTGCTTAGCACTGTACTGCTTCCCCTCGACGTCGAATCGATCGACCGACCGTTGCGTGTGCAGCACGACGGCCGAGCTACTGCCGGACGCTCTGCTGGACCTTGGGCTTGACCTCGTCCAGGATCATCTTGGCAGACTGCTTGTCGAGCTTCTTCATGTACCGCTCGATGACTCGGACGGGCTCGAGGCCGCGGGCGTCGACCTGCTGACGGCGGCTACCGAGGTAGGCGAGGATGTCGTGCAGGTTGGCGCGGACCGTCTTGAGGCCCTGCTCGCGCGACTGGGACGTCGTGCCGGCGTAAAAGTGGCTGGGCATGCGGAAGGGCTTGGGCCTGCGCGCGTTCTTGTCCGGAAGCGCCGTGTCCATGGCCGAGACGAGGAGCGAGATGGTCGAGTCGACCTTTTCAACGACCCGACCCCGGTCCGGCCGCGAGCGGTTGGACGCCTCCTGCAGCCCAAAGACGTTGATGTACGTGGCGGGCAGGAACGAGAGGATGATGGGGTCGACGAAGCCGTAGTTGAAGTGCGGCGTCAGGATCACGGCCAGGGCCATGCGGTCCAGGATGGAGAGCTGGGCCCGCACCGCAGCGTCGGCGTCGGCGTCGGTCTGCTCGGCAGTCTCTGCTGGTGCGGCTGCCTCGGCGTCGGCGGCAGGGGCGGCGGCGGCATCATCCGCCTCGGGCGCGACGGGTGCGAGGAGGTCGACCTCCTGGACGGGCGCGCCCTCGAGCGTGACGCTCTCGAGCAGCGCCTCTGTGCTCCCGCTGATGGCCTTTGCCCTCAGCTCGCGCTGGATGAGGTAGAGGGTGGGCAGGTCCGCCTCCATGCCGAAGCGGTACCTCTCGAGAAAGGCGTGCAGGCCGACCTCGGGGTAGCCGATGGCGGCGGCACGACGGCCAAAGATGGGTCCGCTCTCTACGCCCAGTTTGCCTACGCGGTCGAGGTAGGTCTCGGCGAGCGAGAGGGCCGAGAGGAGCTCGTCCTTGGTGTTGGCGTGGCGCGCCAGGTAGCGCCACCGCCGCACGCTGGGTTCCCGGCTGAGGTCCAGCTTGTCCCACGCCAGGTGCGACTCGACAAACGCAAACGCCTGGTTCCACGTTGGTCCCGCCGGCTGCCGCGGGCCCGCCGGGTCCGAGCTCGGTGGTGCTGCGGCGTCGTCTGGGCCGACGTGCTCCGATGTGGTGCCGCCAAACAGGTCGTCGTCCTCGAATGCGGCAGAGTCGTCGTCGTCAAACTCAGTGACCTCCTCTACCGCGCTCGAGCTCTTGCCCTTTTTCTTGCAGGCTGTGCAGGGATCGATGGCGGTGGGTAAGAGGGGGATTTAGGGCGCGCGGATATAACGTCAGCTGAACCGCTGCGGCGGCGATCCCGAGACCACAGCAAGAGGGCAAGTGGACGCACCTGTTGGCGAGGTAGAGAAAGCGCGAGGAGCTGCCAGCTTATCGCCACGGAATGCCTCGGCGGAAGAGCCGTGGGGAGCGAGACCATTGGATCGGAAGAGGGCCGGTGTGACAGCGCTGCGTGCCAGCGTCCTGGTCGAGCCGGAAGCGACCCGGAGGGCGGACCGAGCCAAGACGTTCTTCATCGCCGCGGTTGTCGTCGTCGCTATCGCTTTCGTCGGTCTGATCCGATGCAAGGAAAGGAGGGAAGATGAGTAGGAAGGGCGGCTACGCAGGAGGTGAGGATGTCGTCGCGGGGAGGGGCGGTGTGGTCGAGCAGGAAGATGTGCCGAGCGAGAGAGCGAGCGGAGCGCAGGCAGAAAATCGGGCTTCGACGGACAAGCCCTTCTTCCGATTTTTGGACCCACGCCACGTGACCCGCCCTCGTACCCCACTCAGGATCCATGCCAGGCGACGATGGTCACGAGTAGAGAGAGAGAGAGAGAGAGATCCATTTCGCAAAGCAGACCGAGACACACTTTGGACAGGACAGGTACCGGGGCCACAATGAATGTGAGGAACGGAGAGAGAGTGAGGAAGAAACGAGGGCGAGGGAGCGAGGGAGCGAGGGAGCGAGGGCGGGCAGAGCAAGAGTTGCTCGAGCAATGCAAGACAGGAGACAAGGGGGCAGGGTGACGATCGAGACGAATGCTGTTTCGGGAAAGGGAAGGTGGGGAGCACGAGAAGCGCAGCGGAGCGATGGGCGGCGGCGGCAGCTGCGACAGTAGAGATGCGGCGACGGCAGGGGTGATGTCGCAGCACAAGGGGATCAAGGGCCGTAGGAAACGGGGTCAAGGAGTCGAGCGAGTGCCTTGCCCCTAGTTGCCGTTGCCGTTGCCGTTGGCGCCGTTGGGGTGGTTGTGGGAGCTGAGCGCCTGGTCGGCGCGGTCGAGGTCGGCGCTGGACAGGACCTTGCCTCCGCCCAGCCCGGGCGTCGATGCGCCGCTCATGCTGCCCACCGAGGTGCCTCGGTTCCTGGCCTTCATGACCAGCGGGAACTTGTAGGCGGCCTCTTCCTCGTCGTCGGATCCGTGCTGGCTCATGGCCCTCCAGAACTGCTGCGAGCCGCGGTAGTCGGACGTGCTCAGGCTCTGCAGCTCCTCGGTGAGCGTGCCGAATTCGCCGGGCGTGCGCATGCCCGACGGCGGCAGCCTCGGCGATCCGGGCACCGACATGGGCGGCTGCATCTTGCCACCTGCGGCGATGTCGTCGAAGTAGCTGTCGATGTCCTCGTCGTCCTCGAACGAGTCAGGGTAGGCGCGGCGCAGCGCCAGCTGCCTCGCCTTGGCGTACTCGAGGCCGAGGCGCTTCCAGTCGAGCAGCTCCGACAGCCTCTCGGTGCGGTTGCGCTGGTTGATGCGCTGCCTCCTCGTCTTTTGCGCGTATGTGAACATCTGGTCGGCAAGCTGGTTGACGCTGTCCTCGACGCTCTTCATGCGGCGGTCGACGATGTAGATGCCGTAGTCCTCGCCGCGCTCGATAGTGTCCTCCATGAAGCAGCCGAAGCCGGAGAGGTTGGTGGTGATCGAGGGGATGCCCATCACGGTGCACTCGGCCGGCGTGTAGCCCCAAGGCTCGTAGTACGACGGGAAGACGCCGAGGTGGCAGCCGCGCACAAACTCCTCGTAGTCGAGACCGAGGATCGGGTTGTTGGCGTTGAGGAACTCGGGGTGGAAAATCATCTTGACGCGGTCCGACGAGCGGTTGAAGAGCTGGACGCGGCGGATCTGGTTGAGGATGGGATCGTTGCTGTCGTCGGCCATGTTGTGCGTGACAACAGGCGGCAGCGAGTTGCGCTTGAGCGCAAAGACGCGCTTCTTGAGCGCGATCTTGTCGGCGTCCGAGAGCAGCTGCGATGGGTCGATGATGTCGGTGCCGCTGTCGCCCTGGTACCTCGCCGTGCGCTCAAACAGACGCTCGCCGATCCTCGCCTGGATCTGCTCGACCGTGTCGCGCAGCTGCTTGGTCACGGCCTGCCCCTTGAGCGCCTCGATCGTGTACGACTTGGTCTCGGCGGGCATAATGATGAAGGCGACGACGGTGACCTTGGATCCGGCCTTTTGCAGGCGGTAGTTGAGCCGGGCGAGCGCCTCGATGAACATGTCGACGCCCTTGTTGCGGTACTCGTACCTGCCCGCGGTGAAGAAGTAGAGCGTGTTGTCGAGGTCAAAGTCGTAGTGGCCGTAGAAGTGGCCCTTGATGAACTCGTTGATCTTGTGCTTGGAGACGGCATGGAGGTTTTGGAACTCGTGCATGGCGGAGAACTTGACCACGTTGAGGCCGTTGGGCAGCACGCCGTCGGGCTTGCGCTTGAGCAGGTGCTCGCTCTCGTAGGCCGTGATGTGGCTGACGGTGGTGAAGACGTCGGCGCAGTGGGCTGCCGACCTCTCGATGCAGTAGCGGTGGTAGATGCCGCGCTTGCCCGCCTCGTGGTCGACGTCAAAGTACTGCAGGTTGTTGTAGAAGTCGACGCTGCCGGCGCACAGGTATCGGCCCAGCAGCGTGGCGTGGGTGGTGAAGATGGTGGTCACGTCAATGTGCCTCTTTCGGCAGAGCGGGATGGCGAGTCCGGCCTGCCACTCGTGGAAGTGGGCGATGACGGCCTTCTTGCGCTCTCGCGTGACAAACTGCGGTGCAGGCGGCAATGGGCGACGGAGCGAGACTGTCAGCATTTCGATGCCGCGGTGCACGAATCGGCGACTTTGGGCGCCGGGCCGTGTGCACTCACCTCTCCGAGGAACCAGGCGACCATGTAGCCGAAGATGAGCGTCTCGTTTGTCTCGTGGTCGTTTGGCGGCGTAGGGATGCCGGCGAGGTTCCAGAGGTCGCCCTTCCACTCGTCCATGCGGTGGTACATGCTGCCGGTGTCAAAGAGGAGCACCTTTGGCGCGCGTTCGATGAGCCACCTGCCGTAGAGGTACTTTACGCCTGCCGCCTTCATGCTCTCGAGGGTGGCCTTGAGCGCGGGCTCCTCTGGCTCGAGCGCCTCGACCTCCATGGGCGCCGTCTTGTACGAGAGCGGGCCAATCAGGCAGTAGCGGTCCCCGTACTCTTGCTGCGTGACGGGGGCTTTTGTCTTGATGACGGTGTAGATGCCTCCGACCTTGTTGGCGACCTCCCACGCCGCCTCAAAGAGGAGCGGGTTGTGGACGTCGCGCTTCTCGACCGACATGGTGGACGAGGGGGGAGAGGGGAAGAGGTGGGCGATTCGAGCCGAAGTGCGGTGGCGAACGTCTCCTTTTGGGGTCGGTCAACGACGGTGGAGGCGACGGGGATGGCAGGGCAGGGCAGGGCAGGACAGCAAGGGCGATACGGTCGAGCGTGAGGTGAAGGCTGCGACGATGCGGCGAGAAGGTGTGCTGGTGGTGAAGGAAGAAGAGGCAGGGCGGCGAGAGCGAGTGCGACCTGACGTAGCGGGGGTGGTCGGGGCCTCTTTAAACAAGCGCGGCGGACGAGCCAGCCAGACGAAGCTGGAAGCCATCCAGCCAACCAGCCAGGCTAGGCTGCCCGACGAGAAGCGGCCATCGCCGCCTGCACACGAGGGCCAAGGCGGCCCAGGCAGGCAGCGGCAGCAGGTCACCGGGGCACCACCAACGCAGGGCCACGGGCGGAGGATGTGTGGAGTTCGCGCGGTGCGTGCCTCCCTCTGGGCCCGGTGCCCGCCCTGTCGACCCGCCCGCTGGGAGAGCACACGCCATCTCCACCTCGCCTCTCTCTCTCTGCCTGGCAGGCGGCGCTGCCCCACGCTGGCCGACCCACTCACCACCAGCCAACCAGAAAGTCGCCTGCCTGCCTCGCGGCTCGCCCGCCCTTCCCCAGGGACAGTCACCGGCAGACGAACGCGAGGCCCGGGCCAGGGCCAGGGCCAGGGCCTAGCGGGCGACAGCGTGGGGACCCGCTTCCAAAAAAATCCCCAACGGTTGGTTGGCCTCTCTCTGCAATTTTCCTTCCCCGCGCACAAAACTTCCCGGTCGAGGCGCAGCAAGGACAGCGGGTCAAGTTCGAAACCGCCAGGCCGCGCCACTCGACGCGACCCCATCGATGAGGCGGCAAGATGGCCGTCGCACCTGACGTATCGATGAGGGGCAAGGAGCGAGGAAACCATGCCATCCTCGTCGTCGCCTCCTTCTTCTTCTTCTCTGATGTCGAGGCCTTGTTGTCTCACGGGCGTTGCTCGAGCAATGGGTTAGCGGCTGGACAGATCCGACGATCCCTTGCCTGATTGGCGCAGGTTTCGCACCCAATCTCTCTAAGAATCTGACCGCCTTGCTTGCTTGCTTGCTTGCTCGCTCGCTTTTGTCGCCGGCCGTGTGCGTCGTACCGTCAGACAGGAAGGTCCAGCCTCGAACCATGCCACCAAATGACCGAGGGCTGGGCGCGGGACCGGCAGGCAAAGGTGGATCGACGCAACACATGCACATATCGACAAGCAGCAACTGCCCGCCAGCCTGCCTGCGGGTTCGACGGACCTAGCCTGATGCAGGTCAGACGCGCTAGCCTACGCGCGTCCTGATCGCCGTCTTTGTCGTCGTCGTCGTCGTCGCCGTCGCGGCCGTCGCGGCCGTCGCAGCCGTCGCTGTCCGCAGCGCCCGATGCCTAAGCCATCGATCAATCGTCGACACACGCACAGAGTCGGTGCGATAGCAAGACGAGACGCGGTGAGAGGAAACGAGCGCCTGGCCATTATTGTAGCAACATGGTGTGAGCACAGCATCGTGCCCGCACCGACCGTCCCTGCCGGCGTCTCGAAGCGACCGACGTCAGCGGCTGACCCGCAGAGCAAGCAAAGGTCAGAGGAGCGAGCGGTGGGTGCGTGCCAAGCCCACATGACAGGCTGGGACCACGGAAACGACGAGCCTAAAGCGAGCGAGTCTGACGACGGCGCCGTGTCGGAGTTATACAACAGGCTAGGCGTCGTCGTCGTCGTCGTCTTCGCCGTCGCCGGTGGTGGTGACGGCAACCAGGATGACCTGCAAACGCATGCTGTATGTCGTTTTGGCCCGCTCGAGCGGCCGCCAAGCGAGCCTTTGCCTTGACGTCGTTCCTGTCATGGCAGGGAAGAAAGCTCGCTCGCTTCGCCCCTCTGTCCGGCTTTCTCCTTCTCGCGCCCAGCCGACCGAGATCAGCGGGTGTGCACAAAGGCGGCCTCGACTGACAGAAGGAGGCGAGAATGGGACCAAGCTCCATCCGGCGGTCGTCCCTCATCCTCAGTCGCCACCGGGTCGGGAAACGCTTCCGAGATGCGAGCAGGCCCCCCTCCCCGGGCTGGAACGGTCGCTTTGGGGCCCCAGGACGAGAAGACAGTGCGCTGACTCGTGAACGCAGGCCTCGTATGGGGCCCAACCCATCGCTTGCCCCGTACGTCCTTGCGTTTTTGCGTCCGAGATCAAGCCGGGCGGGGAGCGGTGGAAGAGAGAGGTCAGCAAGGCACCGTCGAGTTTGTCGGCCCGAGCCACCGGCGTGACTTCGGTGGCTGCGTGCAGAACCTGCATGAGCGCTGAAGACGAATTGACCCGCGCGGGTCCAGCCAAAGACTTGGAGGCTTGCCTTGGCCCTGCCCCGATCTGACTGGCAGCCCGATGCTGGCCTCGAGGGCAAACGCGGGAACCCCGTGGGCCTGAGCGCACCAGGCTGGGCGGGGCAGGCAGGCCACGCTGGCAGCCAGCCAGCCGCCTGCCCAACCGGCGTCTGGCAAGGCCAGAGCGGGCCCTTCACGCGGAGACAGGGCGCACCTAGCCAGCCCGGGCCAGCCCCTGCTCTAGCGCTTCTTCTTCCCCCGCCGTCACCACCACCACCACCATCTCGTCCTCCTCCTCCTCACCCTTCCCACCCTTCCACTCGTTCACACATCACGCCCAATATGAAGTTCATCAGCTTCACCACGCTGTTTGCCATGCTGGCGGCCATCGTGCTCCTCTCGTTCTCGAGCAACGCCTCGACCCAGGAGCCCAAGGTGACCAACAAGGTCTATTTCGACATGGAGCACGACGGCAAGCACATCGGCCGCATTGTCATGGGACTCTACGGTGACGTCGTCCCCAAGACGGTCGAGAACTTCCGCGCCCTCGCCACCGGCGAGAAGGGCTACGGCTACAAGGACAGCACCTTCCACCGTGTCATCAAGAACTTCATGTAAGTGCCTCGAGCAAGAGCGGGCTCGCGGTTCCCCAGGCATGACGGCTGACCAGGAACGGCTATCTGCCCTCTGCCGCCTCGGTGCTCGCAGGATCCAGGGCGGTGACTTCACCAACGGCAACGGCACCGGCGGCAAGTCGATCTACGGCAACAAGTTTGAGGACGAGAACTTCACCCTCAAGCACACCGGCCCCGGCGTCCTGAGCATGGCCAACGCCGGCCGCAACACCAACGGCTCCCAGTTCTTCATCTGCACCGTCAAGACCTCGTGGCTCGACGGCAAGCACGTCGTCTTTGGCAAGGTCATCGAGGGCATGGACGTCGTCTCGTTCATCGAGAATGTGCCCAAGGGCTACGGCGACAAGCCTAGCGCCACCGTCAAGATTGCCAACTCCGGCGAGCTGCCCGTCTCGGGCTCCGCCGACGGAAAGGTGAAGGAGGAGCTTTGATCCGACGATCGCGCCTCCGTTTTCCGTTCCTCTCCCCTTGCCCGGTGGACACGCACTCTCGATAGAAACCATCCTCGCTGCCACCTCTCCCTGCCATGTCGCACAGCAGGCGACGTCTTCGCCCTTTGCAAGCGGACGGCCTGCAGCCATGGCGGGCACCTCGCTCGCTGGCTGCGCCTGCTGCCTCTGAGCACTGTTCCCCCGACCTCTTGCCCTCATCTCGCCCCGCCCTCGTCGGCCAGAGAATGAATATTGAAATCAGACACTCTTGCCCCCTGTGATCCTATCTATCCATGCCCTGCCTGCCTTCGCCGCCAACCTCGACACGGCCGATCTCGACCTCGTTCTCGATCCCGACTGCTCGTATGCCTCGCTCGCTCGTTCGTGCGCCTACCCTGAGCAGAACCCCGCGGTCCTGACCGACGCCAACACGCCTTCGGAACAGACTGCCCCCGCCGCGCTTCCCTCCGTCCCCGCTGCTGCTGGAACCGCCACGAACAACGTCAAGGCGAGCGAGATCATCGGCGAGACTACCGGCTCCAAGACCGCCGCCACCGACTCGTCGTCGTCGTCGTCAAACTACCTCTTTTTCCTCTTTTTCCTCCTCCTCGCCGGCCTCGCTTTCGGCATCTACCGTCTCGGCGGTCCTGCAAAGGCCCAGGAGAAGATGTACCAGGTCGTCGACAGCCTTCGCGGCAGGGAGAGGGGCATGTACGCTCAGGTCTCGGGTGGTCTGCCCCGCTAGACGCGACCGCTCGATCCTTCCCTGCTGTCCCGGACCGTTCGTCATCTCGGAAAGTGCTTTGCCATCCTACTCTAGATACAACCTGCGGGCATCAACTGCCAAGCACCGCGGCGCCTGCCTGCTGGGAAGAGGGAGCCTACTCGAAGCGCTGCGCCGCCTTCCTCACCTCTTTCGGCACCCTCCAGGCCCGCAGCACCACCGAGTTGGTCACGACGAGGGTGCTCGAGGCGGCCATGGCCAGACCGCTCAGCTCGGGACCCAGCTTGACGCCGGCGGGCACGCCGACGCCCGCCGCCAGCGGGATGAGGATGACGTTGAAGACGAAGGCCCATGCAAAGTTGGTCAGGATCTTGAGGTCGGTGGCCCGGCTCAGCTCGAGGAGCGTGGGCAGCGAGAGGAGCGGCGTGTGCCTCTGCAGCAGGATCATGTCGGCGCTGCTGTGCGCGATCGACGAGCCCGAACCCAGCGCGACGCCCAGGTTGGCGGTGGCGAGGGCGGGCGAGTCATTGATGCCGTCGCCGACGAAGCACACTGTCGTCTCGCGTCGGCCGCGCGTCGGACGCCCCTCGATGTCCTGGTTGGACTGCAGCCGCTCCACCCACTCCTGCTTGCCCGTCGGCAGCACTCCCGCCACCACGCGCTCGGGCTCGATGCCGACCTGCCGGGCCACGGCCGCGGCCGTGACGGCATTGTCGCCGCTCACCATCCACACTTCGGCGCCGTACCGCTGCTTCAGGTGCGAGATGACCCACGGCGCCTCGGGCCGGATGGTGTCAGAGATGGCCATGGCTGCCCGAAGGACCGTCTTGGAGCTGCCGATGTCCGACGGCGTGCGTCGAGTGGCGACAAAGACGACCGTCTTGGCGTCGTTCTGCCACTCTTGCTCCTTGTCGGCGACCTCGGCAGGGAAGAGGCAGTCGTCGCCGATGAGCTTGCGATTTCCCACGAGGAGCTCGAAGCGGTCTGTCCGCGTTTCATCTGCGGGCTGCGGGACGGAGAAGGAAGCACGCATGCCGTGCCCTGCCTCCTCTGTAACGTCGTCGAGGTGTGGAATCGGCTTTTCCGGCGACGCGTCGTCGTTGACGGGCTGCGTAGGGGCCTTTTCCGCGCAGAACGCCCTCAGTGCGACGGCTAGCGGGTGCGAGCTGCCTTGCTCGGCCAGGTCGATGCACCGCAGCAGCGCTGCGTCGTCCAGCGCGTCTTGCTGAGGATTGACAAGGAGGCTGTCGACCACCTTGCCCGCCTCGCCCTTGGTGATGGTGCCAGTCTTGTCAAAGACGCAGACCAGCCTCTTCTTGCGCCTCGCTGCCGCGCTGGCGGTGCGGAACGCCTCGCCGCCGCCGTTGACCAGGATGCCCTGCTTGCTTGCCAGCCCGATGCCCACGAGCTGTGCGGTCGGCGCGGCCAGGCCGATGGCGCAAGGGCACGAGATGAGGAGGCAGCTGATGGCGAACTCGAGCCCGTAGATGAATTTGGACCCGGGCGCCGGGTAGTTGGTGACGTGGTCGGCCAGCCAGCCCTCGGACAGCGTCCCGCTGTACAGCACCAAGGTCCAGATGAGCAGCACCAGCAGCGAGAGGTAGACGATGCATGGCACGAACACGCCCGTGATGGCGTCGGCCAGCTGCTCGATGCTCGCCTTGCGTCCCGACGCTTCGCGCACCACCCCGAGGATGTCGTCGATCATCGCCTGGCCGGGCAGGCACTTGATCCGGCACAAGGCCGGCGAACTGCCGACATTGATGGTGCCCGCGAACACCTCGTCGCCGCTGACCTTGGTGACGGGTCGAGACTCGCCCGACAAGCTGCTCTCGTCGAACTGCGCCGAGGCCAGGGACGAGTTATCCTGGCAAAGCTCCTGGACGAGATAGCCGTCGAGAGGCGGAGACGCGCCCGAGGGCACGAGCACGAGGTCTCCGACCTCGAGCAAATCGACCGCGATCGTTTCGACGCCGCCCTGCCGTGGATTCGAGGGATCGAGGACGAGCTGCGCAGAGTTTGGCTTCATCTTGCCCAGCTCCGAGATGGCATCGCCCGTCTTCTTCTTGCTGATGGATTCCAGCACCCGGCCCAGGAGGATGAAGAACTGCGATGTGCAGAGACAGGACAGAGCGGGAAAGAGGCAATCGTCCGGTCAGCAAGTTGGCTCAGCGAGGGAGAAGTGTCAAGCACGCCTCAGCGGCGACACGTACGATGAGAAAGACGGAAACCTCAAAGTACGTCATCCGCATCTCGGTCTCGTGCTGACCGCTGTGCGGTGTTCTTGCTGCGTCGACGAGCAGGACGACGAGGGACGACAGGTATGCCACGGCCGTGCCGAGCGCGACGAGGACGTCCATGTTGCCGAATCTGAACAGCCTCTCGTTCCACTTCCTTCCCTTGCGCCACACGGCGGCGAGCGACTTGTAGGCTCTCGTGAAGAAGATGCTGCCGATGCCGAACTGGACCGGTGTGGCGATGGCCCACATTAGCACCTCCCCGAGCGTCGCGCTTCCCCACACGTAGCGGTTGAGCTTGCGGTTGAGCGGATGGGTCGAAGAGAGGAGCAGCGGCGCGATCATCGATAGGATCAGGGTCGGGATCGCAAATAGGGTGGCCCCGATGAGGCAGAGGAGCAGGTTCCTGAGCTCTTTGCGAGCCAGCGCCGCAGATCGAGATGTCAGCGAGGGTGGTGGGGCGTACGAAGCCTCGAAGGCGGGATCTAGCGCGTTGAGCTCGCGCAGGAGCCCTCGCAGCGACGCCTCGGGACTGGAGGCATAGGTCAGCTCGATGAGCGGACGCTGCAGCGAGAAGCGGGCGAGGCCATCCTCATGGACCTCGAAGGTGTCCGCGTGGGTGGCCTGCTTGCGGTGGAGAAAATCCCGCACCTTGTCGATGCAGCTCTGGCAGAACATGCCATCGACGCGGATCCTCGCCGTGCGTCGAGGGCTCGCGCCAGGTCCGTCCTCTGCCTTGTCCGCCGTGGCTCCCTCTTTGGTCCAGGAGATGACCTCGGCATCGAAGCCGCAGTCCTCGATGACCCCAACGATCTCGTCTCGCAACTTCTCGGCCCGACCTTCATCGGCCTCGACGAGCATCGTCGCGCTGCCGTCCAGCAGGTTGACGTTGAAGTCGTGTACCTCGCCGGTCTTGCGCTCGGACTCGTTCCTGGCTTCTCCCCACGCCTTGACCGCACCACGGAGGCTGTTGACGCAGCTGGCGCACGTCATGCCTTTGACGGCGAGGGTGGCGCGATAGCTCGACCTTCCTTTTCGCGCCTTTGGTTCGGCAATCCGTTGACCGACTGGTGGGCGTTGCGGCGGCTTAGACTCGACGACCTCGATGTCGAACCCGGCGTCCTCGACGGCCTCGCAAATGATGTCCAAAGCCGCTTGAGAGCCCGTAAACGTGGCAGAATTCTGCAGCAGGTTGACGTCAAAGGTGAAATCGGCCAATTCGCCTGGGAACTTGGGCGAGGTCTTGAGGCCCTCGACGGCGTTGTTGATGGACCTCACGCAGGAGGTGCAAGTCATACCCCCGACGGCGAGCCGGGCCTGAATGGACCCGGCGGAGGCGGCGCCAGCCTCGGACTCTTTGATGGTCTTGTGAGCGTTGCCGTCCCTGGCTGATTTCGCCACTTCGATGGCAGCCTGATCAGCGCAAGGCAGCGCAACTGGGGACGAGGCCTGATGAAGGCTGCCCGAGGACTCCTGGCACGAGGCGCAGGCCTCGAGGTGGCGCGCCCAGCGCTGCTGTCGCTGCGCGTCGTCGGCCTGGCCGTCTCCCCTACCCGCCCACAGCGAAAGGAGGCTGGCGAGCGAGCTCGTCAACGACGATACCGCAGTGGCAGAACCAGAGGGCTCGGAGCTCTTGCGATTGAGGTTGTCCGGGCAGCCTTTCAAAGTCACGGCGGATCCCTGAATGTCGGCCGCGTCGAGCGCTATTGTGGTCCATTCTTCGCCGCCGCCGCCCTTTCTCGCGGTAGGATCAATAACGCTCATCTCGACAGAGTCGATGGGATAGCCCTCCTGAGCGAGCGAGGCAGCGAGGCTCTCGAGCATATCGAGGAGGCGTCTGCGTAGCTCGATGGCGCGCTTGCCCATCGCGTCGGGCGACATAGCAGAGGACGGCGAGTGTATTCCGGCAAGGGCCAGATCAATCTCGACGGTCCTGTCGATGAGCGTGACGGCGGTGTGCTCGACCTGTGCCCTGGAAGCGGGTGTCCAGGCATGGTCTGCCAGGATGGATGAGAGGTGCGAAATGCACGACGGACAGTGAATGTCGGGGCACACGGCCCTGACTCGGACGCGGACCATCGAGGCGTCGTCGTTGCTGGCGTAGTTGGACGCCCTCGTGGTGGTTGGAAGGAGAAGTCCAGTGCCTTCATCGGCAGCTTGGCTGCTCGCCGGGGTGTCGGTTGGACCGCCAAGGACCGACATGGTGTCGTCGCGTGGGACGGGGCGGAGACGGCTAGGGGCTGCTGCTCAATCGACAAAGGCTGTCGTATGGTCGAAGGAGGAGGTGATTGGTGGTGCCTTGGGTGGCGAGCCGGGGATGGATCGCCCGCCGCCTGCCTTATATCCCTAGCCCGGCCCCGCACCTAGCCATCGACGCTGCTCATCTGAGCTGTCAAACACCATGGAGGGCATGCTGACTGCGAACGGCAAGACGGCCGGCACGTCTGCCTGCGGCCTCGGGAAGCAAAAGCATGAGCAAAGCGCGCGTGGGTGCGGCGTGCGTGCTCCATCGCCGGGGCAAAATCGCGCATGCATGCCGGCTCATCCGAAGGGGCAGGCAGGCGAGTCGGAAGCAAGCGAGAAAGAAGGCAGGCCGGCAAGGGTCGAGCAGGCGGGCAGCAGGCCGGCTCACTTATTCGCGCAGGGGCGAAAATCGCGCAAAGCGGGCGCCCGCCAAATTCCCTCAAACCGGTGCCTTCTGGGCGGACCCGAGAAAAGTTGCCTGGTCGCGCTCAACCTCCACGACCGCCGTTTTCCAAAAATTTCCAGACGGCGAGGGTGCACCCTGACCTGCCTCTTCCTCGACCTTCTGCCTTCTGCCTTCTGCCGCACTCTTGTCTCATCGGCTTGCCCCGCCTTCAGCACACTACCACCACTGCGTTCCACGCACACCTTCAGCAGCACAGCGACATGGCCGTCAACGAACATCGCAAGGGCAAGAAGCCGCAGCGCGGCGACGACGCAAAGAGCGGAGCAAAGGGCAAGGGCCCCGCCCACGGCAAGCGCAAGCACCCGTCCGGCAATGGACCCGCAAGGCCCAACAAGAAGGCCTACACCCGGCCAGAGAGCCTAGAGGGCATCCCTGGCGCAGGCAAGCTCAAGTCGTCCATCCGCCAGACCAAGCGCCTGCTGGCAAAGGTGAGCCTGCCCCCCTTGCTGGCCGTGCGTCCTTTCTACGCAGCCTCAGGACGAATCTGACGTCGCCTCTGGCCTGCTCCCTCGCCATTCCCGGCCGCAGGAGAATCTCGCCCCCGGCACCAAGATCGAGGCCGAGCGGCGCCTTGCGGCGCTCACCGCCGACCTCGAGAAGCTGCAGAGCTCGCGCGAGGAGAAGAACGTGTCGGCTCGCTACCACAAGGTCAAGTTCTTCGAGCGCCAAAAGCTCGTGCGGAAGATCAAGCAGACGAAGAAGGCCATCGAGCAGCTCGAAAAGAAGGCATCAAAGGCATCAGATGCATCCGATAGCGATTCTGACGCCAGCGGATCCGACAGTGACGACGATGGGAAGCCGAGCATCGAGGACCTCGAGGTCGTCTTGACGGAGCTGCGGTGCTTGCTGCATTACGTCCTCGTGAGTGTGGCCTGCCGCCGCCGTTGCCTTTGTACGGACAGCTGAACCTCATCCTGCCTGCCCTTCACGACTTTCCCACAGCGCTACCCTCCGGACCTCGCCTATGTCAGCCTGTTTGCCAACGGCGCCAAGGAGCCTCAGGTGCCGAGCGCGGATGAAACCGACGCGACGCGCGCCAAAGCCTTTATTGTCCTGGACAAGATCCGCAAGGCCGTCGCCAAGTCTGAGCTGAGCAACCAGCCCGAAATCGACCTCGAGAGCGGTGAGGCCGCCGACAGAAAGGACAAGATCCGCGCAAGCGACCGGCCGAGCGCCAGCACGCCAGGGCGGCAGCCTGGCAAGAAGGCAGCCAAGTCGGAGGGTTCTGACGACCCTGACGACGAGGAGGATGCCGCGGAACATGGCGTCGAGGGCGATGACTTCTTTGCCCGCGATTCCGACGACGACGACGAGTAGACTCGTAGTGATGTTACGCCGACTGGCTGGCCGGTCGTCCAGCATGGAAGGCGATGCATTCCCATTATACCCTTCCCTGCCCTCCATCCGCTGCACCCGTTGTACCTGGGGAATCCTTCAGAGAAAAGACTGAGACGGCGGCATTGGACCGCGTCGAGTGATGGGACACCGAAAGGGCATCGAATTGCGAGCAGTCCAGAGAGATCGTGGCCGGTCGTGGCCGTACATGCGGACCCCGGTCTGGCCTGGCCGCGGCTGAGCGCGCCCGTGCGTTGCCTGGCCTGGCCTGGCCGCTGCAGCCGGTTTTTTTCTCTTGCTCCACCTTTCGGCTTGGCCGCCTGGCCAGGCTCAGAGACCGAGGGAGCGAGATGCGGAGGCCCCGACCACCTGCAGCGCGGCACGTCCGCAGACATGACTCCCGCCTGATCGCCAGCTGGGCCTCCCTTCCACCACGACCTCCATCGCCACTACGCCGCCATCGTCGCCCGCGCACTCTGCGCCAGCTATCCTCTTGCATCGGCGACGCCCCCCGAGACATCATCATACCCTTACCCCGCTCACGGCCCGCCCTCACCTGACCGCGTTGGCGGTCCAGTCAATCCCCCCCTCCGTGCCCTGCCGCATCACCCATCCGCCGCGCTCTTTGACTCAGCCGCCGCCATCCGTCCGCCACCATGGCCGCCCCGCTCTACACGACGGCATCGGGCCAGCTCTACCACGCCGGCAAGATCCTCATTGCCACTGTCGGCCTCCCCGCACGAGGCAAGACGCACCTCTCGCACGCCGTCGAGCGATACCTGCGATGGCTCGGCGTAAAGTCCAAGGTCTTCTCCCTCGGCGACCACCGCCGCAAGGTCCTCGGCCGCGTCGATGTGATGCCAAAGGATTACTTCAAGAGCGGCCCAAAGTCGGCAGAGACCGAAGCGCTGCGCAAGCGCATCCTCGACGAGTTTGATGAGACCGTCGTCGACTACTACGACCAGGGCGGCCAGGTCGTCATCTACGATGCCAACAACGGAAGCCAGGCGAGGAGGTATGCCATCCGCGAAAAGTTTGGCAAGCTGGGCATCCACGTCATGTTTCTCGGTGAGCATTCATCTGCGACTGCTGCGCCAGGGCAACCCGACAGAGGACCAGGCTGACCTCGACTCCCGCTTCCATGCCTCCGCTCACCCAGAGAGCATCTGTACCGATCCGGCCGTGGTCGAGGCCAACGTCAGGAGTGTGAAGCTCAGCAGTCCGGATGTGAGTCGACTGGCTGCAGATGCCGTCCATGCCTGCAGGGTGCCCTTTATCTGACTCGCGAGACGATACCCTGAGCGCAGTACGTCGGGTGGGACCCGGAGCGGGCGGTCGAGGACTTCTACAGCCGCATCAAGGGCCATGAGCAGTTCTACGAGCCCATCGAGAACCCGTCCTTTCCCTATATCAAGCTGATCAACGTCGGGGAGCAGGTCGTGGTCAACAACATCCAGGGCTACCTGCAGAGTCGAATCGTCTTTTTCTTGATGAACATCCACAACCGGCAGAGGACGTGAGTGGCAGCGGCTTACGGCATCGGCTGCATATGCTGCGAGCAACGTGCACTGACCTGCCATCCTCCCGCGTCCCTCTTCCTCGCTCGCCCGACAGCATCTACTTTGCAAGGGCTGGAGAGGCCCTCATCGAGCACCTATACAAGGCAGATGCGGACCTCTCGTCGCTCGGCTGGGACTATGCCGACGAGCTGTGCAACTTCGTGGTCACCCTGCGCAAGGACGCGGCGGCAAAGAGCATCCAAAAGGCCCGCGGCGAGAGTCGCCAAGAGACCGAGGCGCGGCGCGACAAGCCGGGCCATGGACCGGGCGAGGAGCTGAGGACGCTCGAGGTATGGACGTCGGCAAGGCGGAGGTCATCGCACACGGCCTACCCCTTCACCGAAAAGGGCTTCAAGGTGATTGAGAGGTCGCAGCTGAGCGAGATGAACCCGGGCATCGTGGACGGCATGAGCGAGGAGGAGATCCGGAAGCGGTACCCAGACGAGTGGGAGCGAAAGCTGCGCGAGCCCTACTCGCACCGCTTCCCGCGCGCGGAAAGCTACCACGACCTGTCGGTGAGTGCTCGGCGGACGGCAAGTCATCGGCGCTTGTCCGAGAGACGGACCCGCTCACCCACGTTCTGCCCCCGTCGACGCTGCAGGTCCGTCTGGAGCCAATCATCTTTGAGCTGGAGCGGGCAAGGAGCGACGTTCTCATCATTGGCCAGTCGTCGGTGCTGCGCTGCCTCATCGCCTACTACCAGGGCCTCCAACCCCACGAGATCCCTTCGATTCAGGTGGGTGCAGCGAGACATCGTGTCCCGCGAAGTGACGGTGCAGTTCAGGTCACTGATCCCCCTCCCTTTGGCTTCTCCTGGATCCGCAGGTGCGCGAGGGGGAGCTCGTCGAGATTTCGCCCCAGGCGTACGGGGTCAAGACTGTGACGCACCAGTTCTGGGATCCGGTGGCGCGACGCAAGGAACGCGACGCGGTCTTTGAGGCTGAGGACCAGACGGCTGCCAACGCCGCCCGGCAGGACGAGGCGGCCAGCATCCACGACGAGAGGGAGCAGAACCGCACGGCCAACCGCGAGGGCATGCCGCGGTGGGCGCAGCGGAGGAGCAGTTCGGCCAAGTCGCCCGAGGGCATCCGGGCGGATCGGGCCGCCATCCGAGAGCTGGAGCAGGAGCTCAAAGACGCAGAGATGCTGCGCGACTACGATGTACAGATCGCGCGCTGAGGACCCGTGGCCACTGCCTGTTGGAATGCGACGTTGCCATGCGTACCGGTATTGCCCGGGTGGCGAGTGTCAGCCTTGAGTTGCCGCCCACCGCCACAGCCGCCGTCATTGTTGTTGTACGTTGTCGTCGTCGTCCTCGGGACGAGCGAGGTGGCGGTAGCGAATCGGGCAGGCCACCCGTCTCTCCTATCTGTCTGCCCTCTCCCTGCCTCCACATGCTGCATCTGCGCCTGCCTGCGGCCCCCGGAAATGACGCAGCAGGCAGCAGCGGCAGCCAGCCAGCCAGCCAGCCAAGGCAGCCGGGCGGGCGGGCCAGCCGGGCGTGAAACGCATGTGGAGCGAGCAAGGCGTGGCCTGCCTGCCTGGCTGCCGGCCTGGCAACCGACGAGCGGCTGCGAGCGAGACACCGGCTCGAACCCCACCCATCCTCTGCTGGCAGCTCGACTTGTTGGGGCAACCAAACGGGACCAGCTCGCCTACTCCCCCCGTCATTGACGGTCAGTCAAGATTGCCTCTCGACCACCACCTCGTCTCCCTCCAACGCACGCATTCGTCCCATCGAGCACCACATACCATCGAGCATTCTGGCATGGCGTGCCATCGCTGACCACCAGAACACGACTCGTCTCGCCTCTTCCCGTCGGTGACGCTGTTCCACAACTAGACGACTGTCACCCGCTCGCGCCCCGGCTCGCCCGCCATGGCATCGCTCTTTCATCGCCGCCGTGCGGCTCATCCGTCGCCCGCCGCGGACACGGCGTCTGACCCGGCTGCAACTCCCAGGCGCCGGCGCTCGAGCGCCTTCAACCTCCTCTCGCCTCGATCGGAAGCTGCCGAACCGGAACTGGATCCGCTCCTCACCGCCCAGTATGCCATCCCCGACCATGTAGAGGCGTTCCGCGAGGCGCTCAGCCACGATCTCGGCCAGTCCGAGTACCTCCCCGCTTCGGCCGCGGCCGCCAGCCAGATCACCGGTTCCTCGACCTGGTCCATGCTCGGCTTCCCAAACGGCCTCAAGAGCCCCGGCGCCAAGTCACCCGTCGACACGCCCTCGAACCACTTTGACTCGATCGCGTCGGTGCAGGAGTCGGCCTCGTCGTCCGCCAACCCTGCAGAGCCCTCGTCGACGCAGGCCTCAAACCCGCGCAAGGTGGGCCGCATCGCCGCCGCCTCCGACTTTGCCCCCATCCGCGAAAAGGTCCACCGCAAGAAGAAGCGACGCTCCGTCGACAGCGGAACGCGCGAGGGCTTCGTCTACCACACGCTCAGGTGGCCGCTGCTCATCGGCATCTTTCTCACCATCTTTCTCGAGTTTGCGGCGTACGTCATCATCCGCCAGATTGTCAACGTCATCGAGTACGCCATCGCATGGAGGGGAAAGAAGGGAGAGCTGCGCAAGAGGATGCGCAAGTCGACCACCCTCGGAGAGTGGAAGGAGGCGGCGCTCGAGCTCGACGAGTTCATGGGCTTCGAGGCGTGGAAGACCGACGACGCCAGCGGGTTCTACGACTGGATCCTTGTCAAGAAGGTCAAGGCATCGCTCAAAGGTGAGTTGCGCAGCGAAGCACGCCTCCGTTCCTTTAGCGATGGGCATGCCAGGACGACCGCGCTGATTTGCCACATTTGCCCTTGAACCGCCACGTCAGCCTTTCGCGAAAAGGAAGACACTGAGAACCTGCTCGGGGTACTGGACCTCTGCCTGCGCAACAACTTCGCCGGCACAGAGAACTTCCGCCTCTACAGCGAGACGTTCTTTGGTACCAAGTACCTCGTCGAGAGCTACCTCAGCGAGCTCGAGCTGGCGCTGCGCTACGTCGAAAGCACCGACAAGATCACGCCAGAGGTCAAGCGGCAGTTCTACCGCACCGTCTCGCGCAACCTCGGCCGCAGCGCCCTCTGCCTCAGCGGCGGGGCGAGCTTTGGCTACTACCACATCGGCGTGGTGCGCGCGCTGCTCGACTCGAACCTGCTGCCCAAGGTGGTGACGGGCACTTCGGCCGGCGGCTTGATTGCGGCGCTGACGTGCACGCGGACCGACGAGGAGCTCAAGAAGCTTCTCGTGCCCGCCCTGGCGGACCGCATCACGGCGTGCGAGGAGCCCATCAGCGTGTGGGCCCGTCGCGCCTGGCACACGGGCGCCCGCTTCGACACCGTGTCGTGGGCCGAGAAGTGCGCCTTTTTCACGCTGGGCTCGATGACCTTCAAGGAGGCCTACGAGCGCACGGGCAAGGTGCTGTGCATCAGCGTCATCCCCTCGGACCGCCACTCACCCGTCAAGCTGCTCAACTACATCACCGCGCCAGATTGCGTCATCTGGTCGAGCCTGTTGGCCTCAGCGGCCGTGCCGGGCATCCTCAACCCCGTCTGCCTGATGCAAAAGACCAGGGACGGTCGAATCATACCGTGGAACTGGGGACACCGCTTCAAGGACGGCAGCCTGCGCGTCGACATCCCGCTCCAGGACCTCCACGCGCTCTTCAACGTCAACTACCCGATCGTGTCCCAGGTCAACCCGCACGTCCACCTCTTCCACTTTGGCTCCAAGGGCGCGCCCGGTCGACCCACGGCGCACCGCAAGGGCAAGGGATGGCGAGGAGGCTTTGTCCTTTCGGCTGCCGAGCACGTGCTCAAGCTGCACCTCAAGATGAACTTCAAGATCATTCGCGACCTCGATCTCCTGCCCGCCATCCTGGGACAGGACTGGAGCAGCGTCTTCCTGCAGCCGTTTGGCGGTGCCGTGACCATCTGGCCCAAGACCCGGGCGTGGGATTGGGTGCGCATCCTCACCGACCCGGACCGCAAGGAACTCTCCCGCATGATTGACGTGGGTCAGATTGTCACATTCCCCAAGATTCACATGGTCGAGAACCGGATACGCCTCGAGAAGGCCATCGAGCGGGGCCGCAAAAAGTGCCGGAGAGCGATCCGATCCGCCGAGGCGGAAGCGGCCGGCAACGGCAACGGCAACGGCTCCAGCGTCGCAAGGAGGACCAGACGCAACGGTGGAGAAAACGGCAGCAAGGAGCCCCTGCCGACGGCGGGCAGCGTGTCGGAAGGGACCGACAACGACGACTTTTTCAGCTCAAAGACGGTCGGAAACGGATTCACCTCGTTCTCTGCGGCGGGCAAAGCCTCGACGAGCCGCGGCAGGGACAACGATGAGGGCGAGGTTCTGCACCCGAATGGGCTCGACTCGAATGTCGGGACGCCCGGCATCGACGCCGAGTCCGACAGCACGCGGCAACAGCCGGCGCCGCAACGGCCAAAGCCGTACCCGACGTACAGCCGATACCTCTTTGACACTCGCGCGGCCAACAAGGGTCGGGCTACTGATCTGGACTCGGCCATCTCGACGCCCCGTGGCGATGATGATGACAACGCGGGCGCCACGCCAGAGACATGGCTGGACAGAGGGCAAGGCGACATCGAACAGGACGAGCCACGCACCTCTGGTGAAGTGGAGGGCGCAGGGGGTCCGGCAGAGTGGGACGAGGAGAAGGAGCGGATCGAGTACAGGAAGAAGCGGAGCGCGCGATGGGGCGACGGGACCAGCTGGGACGATAGAAGCTACGATACGAGGAAGGACGAGGATCGGTTCAGCGAGAGCAGCGTCGAGAGTTCGGAGGACGACAACGATGAAGACGACGACGAAGAGGGGCAAGGAGGAGCCCCGAGGGACGCGGCGTAGCTTCGAAGCTCGACTAGCTAGACAGACACACACGCTCCGCCAAAAGGGGCAGCCATCTTGATCTCGTTCGTCGGTTGGGTCGGTATCACGCGGGAGAAGGCCGGGCAAGAGCCGCCTCTCTATTCTACAAAGCCCGGCGCGGCGCCCTCGAGCCACAGCCGTCACACTTCTAGTGGTGGAACAGCCTGAGGTTGGTCCTGGCAACGACGATGCCGTGGCCGTTGGCGGCCTCGATGCAGGCGTCGTCCATGACGCTGCCGCCGGGCGCGGCGATGTAGCCGGCGCCCGACCGCGCGGCGCGGTGGACGTTGTCGGGGAAGGGGAAGAAGGCGTCGGAGGCGACGACGACGTTCTTGAGCTTGGCGGCGTGCTCCCTGCGCTCCTGGACCGAGAGCGGCGGCGGGACGCTGTCAAACATGGCCTCCCACTCCTTTCGCTCCTGGGTGTTGGCCATGTCGTCGCCCTCGACGGTGCCCTCGACGAAGAGGTCAATGACGTTGCTCTTTTCCGGTCGCTTGGCGCCCTTCTTGAAGGGAAGCGAGAGGGTGCGCGGGTGCTGGCGCAGCCACCAGTTGTCGGCCTTGGACCCGGCCAGGCGCGTGCAGTGGATGCGCGACTGCTGGCCGGCGCCCAGGCCAATGACCTGGCCGTTGAGCGCGTAGCAGACGCTGTTGGACTGCGTGTACTTGAGCGCCAGCGTGGCCACCGTCAGGTCGAGGAGCGCGCTCTCGGGTACGTCCTTCTTGTCCGAGACAATGTTGGTGAAGAGCGACTTTTCAATCTTGACGTCGTTGCGGCGCTGCTGCAGCGAGACGCCGTAGACCTGGCGCGTCTCGACCAGGTCGGGCTCGTAGTTCGGGTCCATCTGCAGCACGCAGTACTTGCCGCCCTTCTTCTTGGACAGGATCTCGAGCGCCTCGGGCTCGTAGCCGGGCGCGATGACACCGTCGCTCACCTCGCGGCCGATGATGCGCGCCGTCTGGGCATCACAAACGTGGCTCAACCCAATGATGTCGCCGAACGAAGACATGCGGTCCGCACCACGGGCACGGGCGTAGGCGGTGGCCAGCTGGCTCAGCTGGCCGAGGTCATCGACAAAGTAGGCCTTGGCCTCGACCTCGCTCAGCGGCACGGCAACGGCAGCACCGGCGGGCGAGACGTGCTTGAACGACGCGGCGGCGGGCAGGCCAGTGGCCTCGGCCAGCTCCTTGACGAGCGCCCAGGCGTTGAGGCTGTCGAGCAGGTTGATGTAGCCCGGCGAGCCGGCGAGCGCCTTGACGGGCATCTCGCCCTTGGTGACAAAGGCCTGGGCGGGCTTCTGGTGCGGGTTGGCGCCGTAGCGCAGGGGCAGCTGCTGGACGACGCCGGTGGCCGAAGCGCCGGCCGACGAGGCGTACTGCTGTCGGAAGTAGTTGCTGATCGCCTCGTCGTACTTGGCCGTCTGGCTAAAGGCCTTGACGGCGAGCAGGTTGCGGCTGGCCTGGGCCTCGGCGCCGGTCTGGTCAAACTGCTCGAGGAAGCGCGGGTAGTCCTTAGGGTCGCTGAGGATCCAGACCCGCTCGTGGTTCTTGGCGGCGGCGCGCAGCAGCGTGACACCGCCGATGTCGACCTCCTCGACCGACTGGGCGATGGTGGGCGCAGGCTCGCGGGCAATCGTCTCCTCAAAAGGGTAGAGGTTGCAGACGACAATGTCGATGGGGGCAATGTTCTGCGCCTGGAGATCGGCGCGGTCCGACTCCTTGGACGTCTGGGCGAGAATGCCGCCGTGGACGGCAGGGTGGAGCGTCTTGACGCGGCCACCGAGCATCTCGGGTGCCTTTGTGATGTCCGACACGTCGCTGCGGCGAATATCGTGATTGGTGGAGTAGCAGAAAGGCATCGATATGAGCTGCGGGCCATCTCGCGCACATTTGCAACGGCGCCGCGGATCGGTCCGCCACTCACCCGATGGGCAGGCCAGCCTCGCGGACCATCTTGGCGGTGCCACCGCTGCCGAGCAGCCTCACGCCCTTGGCATGGAGGCCCTTGGCGAGCTCGAGCAGACCGGTCTTGTCATAGACGGAAAGGATCGCCGTCGACTGAGAGGCAGACATGGTGGCAATACCTCGAAAGGAGAGCAGGGAGGAGAGGCGGGTGGGCGCGGAGACGGAGAGGCGGAGAGAGCGGAAGATTGAAATGGCAAACAGCGTGCAAAGGAGGTGTCAGACCGGATGGAGGTGGTAGACACGGCGGTGGTGGCGGTGGTGGTGCGGAAAGTTGTCGTCTACGCCGTCTGGAAGAAAGCGGGCGGGCGGAGCGGAGCAGCGACCGACGACGTCGAAAAAAAGTGGAGATGCACCGACCACCCCCCAGGCTGGGCAAACCCCGCCCCACGCACGGGTGGCTGCCGGTACCCTATCTCTCGCCCTCCTGGTGCCTGTCGAGCCAATCAGGCTGTCTGCAACGCTCAGCAGCAGCTGCCGTGTCGGATACTTACGTTTCCGGGGCGACGGCCTGGGCTGCACCCGCGACAACAAACTTTGAGTGGGCCGTCGAGTCACAGCGCTGACCGATGCTTAGTCAATAAGCCCGATTGATGGAGCAACCCGATTTAGCATCCCGATTGTTCTCGTTGGTCAACGCTCGGAGCCGGTCTCTCGCAGCCCGTCGATCTGCCGCGAGTAGTAGCCCGCCGGCTTTCCTTCCGGTCTCGACCTCGACCTCGACCTCGACCTCGACCCCGACCCTACTGACCTTGACCTCTGCATGACCATGGGTCTGTTCGCCATCGTCGTCAAAGTCTGCCACACCCGTCACGTAGCCGCTATTCAGAATCTCGCCCACGAGCGAAGCAGTGGCCCGACCTGATCGACAATTTCCTCACCGGGCCGCTAGCCTCTCTGTCGGGTCGTGTTCCAGCCGAGGACGCAAGAGAAGGCTTCTTCTAGCCGAACGGGTAGCGTGGCCGGCACCCAGCGGCAGGCTTCCAGCCCAGGAACGGCGATCCCTGCGCACCTCGCCGATCGGGAAGGCGTCTCGATCTCGTCGCACCGTCGCTCCCGCATCGCAGAGAGCTTCTCCCAAGGACGCTGAGGGGAGTATCCGTACAGCAGCATGTTGAAGACGAGCGATGAAGCAAGGGTTGACGTCCTTGTTTACGGGTTGCGCGTGTGTGTTTTTTCGGATGGCTAGATCGAGAGTGAGGGCGTGACACCCAGCCCCAGCGCCCCAGCCCCCCGCCGCCGGAGGGCGTGACAACAGAGTGCCTCGGGGAAGCGGCGAAAGGGGCAAGCAGCGGTCCACCCGGCTGGCGGCACCGGCGGGCGGGCATGATGACCGGCCGCGTTGAAAGTTTCAACCGCCGCCGGCGAGCGTCGGCCCTGCGTGCAGCTGTCCAAGTTGGGCGAGCCCTGAGACAGCCCCGTCTGCCTCTATCGGCCCTTGACTCCACGCACGTACGTACGTACCGTTCTTGACCAGCCGCCTGCTTGGCCTTTGCTTGCCCTCCTGTCTGCCCTCGCGATCTTGCTCTTGAAGCTGCAAGCGACATCGCCGAGGGTACATACAGGTACGATGCTGCTTGTGCCGTATCCTCTGCGGCGTAGCCCCAGGCCGTAACACTTAGATCATCGGGCGACAGCGGCAGAAGGCTTCCTACAGCAGCGCCGGGATCAATCGAACCGTGAGGCTCTTAGCCTGCTGACCGCCCGGCCGCCCCCTTTGTTCGCGGCGACGGTCGATCCACGCTATGTAGGGGAGCCGTCGTAAGGCTCCATCAAAGGGACGGTCCGGACGCAGCAGTCCGGCCAACATAAAGACATGTAGCGCTGCATTAGGGCGCCGGACCTCTTCCGCGCTACATGTATTCATACATGGGCGTGGCTTGCTGCGGCGACGCTACGTACTGTATATACACCGGAACCCCCTACGGCTGAAAGAGCGCGCTGGCGCGTCGAAGACAATGCCAGCCCAAGCAAGGCAGGTGGGTCCTGGCCTACTCTCACGGTCGTCGGATGTCCCGTCATGATCATGCTGCGGAGCACTAGGGTTGCAGCCGGATAGCGTGTCCGCCGACATCAGCACGCACGGCTCCTGCTGATGCTACCAGAGTATCGCTCGTTGCAACGGCGGCCGCCTCCATGACGCTACCGGTGGTGCAGAGGGCTTAGGCAGATTGCTTGGCGTCACGGCTCGCCCGTCACGGTGCGATGGCGGCCACCGGGTTCGGTCGAGGCGATGAGGAGGGTAGGCTGGCCGGGGGAAGGCAGCGCAAGCTACGATGGAAGGCCGCCGGAGGATTCTGCCACAGCACACCGCCCCACCCGGCTGCGCCGCATGTTCAAGACACATGGAGGCTCTGATTTCGGGGCCTCCGCCTGGCCCCCTGAAAGAGAACGTCCCTCAGCCGGGCCACACCGCCCTCTCCCCCCTCCTGTTGTTGACCTCCGCTCCCTGCTTGCTCCCTCTCCACCATCACCTCTATCCACTCACTCCCTCCCTTGCTCTCTCCCTCATAACCGCTCCCGATCTTCCCTTCTCGACCCTCTCACTCCATCTCGGAACCAACATCTGACTCGCCGACACGGCCCCTTCCCCGGAGTAACCACCACTCTCTCTTGACGACCCTCGCTCCACCGCCAACACCTCCCCGCCTGTTTTGAGAATGAAGTTCAGCAGCGCGCTCCTCGGCCTGGCTGCCGTCGCCGTTGCCACCGTCTCGGCCACCACCCCCGTCTCGGACGACGCCGCCCTGGCCGTCCGCGACACGCACGAGTCTGGACTCGTCAACCTCGGCCTGCGCGCCCACGAGCGCAAGGCACGCCACGTCCAGCAGCAGTCGTCGAGCGAGGACCTCGAGAAGCGCAACTTTGTCTCCAAGTGGGGCAAGCTCACCTACTACGCCGGCCACCAGCTCGACAACCCCGCCTGCGGCGGCCCCACCCCGACCGACAACGACATGGTCGTCGCCGTCAAGGAGAATGGCGGATACGGCAAGTGCGGTGACACGGTCCACATCCACTGGAGTGAGTCCAGCTTCTCGAACTTCCCCGCTTGCTGGCCTTGGTACCAGCCTGGTCGCACTGGCGCCCACCGCCGATCTATCACTTACTGACATCGCTCGCTCTTCTCTTCCTCGCGTCCGCCCCGTCAGAGGGCAAGATGGTCTCGGCCACCATCCGGGACTACTGCGAGGGCTGCGAGTGGGGCCACTACGACGCCACCAAGGGCCTCTTCCGCAAGCTCGACAGCCTCAGCATGGGCGTCCTCGACGGCATCCACTTCAAGCTCATCGAGCACTAGAGCCACCCCGCTCCGTCGTTTGTCGCTCCTTGACCTGCTTCGCTCTCAGCATTGCTCGATGTGTGGACGAGGCCGGCACTTCGTCAACGCCCCTTCTCGGCCTCTTCGACTTCTACTCCTCTGCCTCGGCATGGCATTGCACCGCCGCGACATGTTCCAACGAGCTGGTTTCTCGTTGGTCGTCGGCGGCGCATCGATCCTCTCCTCCTAGCCGCCATATATTTTTCTCCTTCGGTTCGCGCCGGGTAAGAGGGATCCCTTCGTCTGGGTCCGCAACCTCCCCGCGCCGATCCGCCGGCCTTCTTGGGATCTTCCGACCGTTCCCTTTGTCTCCTTCCCCTGCACCCCCTAGACCTCTTTCGACCCCCTCATTTTGATCGGGCTCAGCGTGCCCTCGGCCCGTCCAGTCTCGGGATCACATCCAATAGGTTCGGAAGCTCCTTTCTCCCCTCCTATCATTCACCCACCTTCTTACCCGCAACCGCCGTCACTCCGTCATCACAAGCGTCACCGTGCTGTTCCCCCTCCCCTTTCCCCTTTTCACGCTTGCGCCCGTGTGTGCTTTGGCGGTACGAGATTGGGTTCGGAGATACGCACAGAAGGGGTGACGAGGGACCATGCTTTGTTTGATTGTGCGACGGGTCGAGACTATGACGACGATGGTGGATGATGGTGTTGGACATGGATGTGGACGTGGAATGATGACGAGGGGTTGGGGAGGGTTGAACACGATTCGACGACAGGGTGGTGGTGGTGGCGTTGCTTCGGGACAACATGTGGGAGGGAGACGGACGCTGCGAGGGAGTCATGGCTGGTTGGTCGGCGAGAGCTGATGTGGGAGCGGATGAATGGGGCGAGGGATAATGACGTGGCAATGCTGGAGGGGGGGAGGGAGAGGTCGAGATGGACACGCGGGCGCATCCTGGCATCTGTCGCGAGAAGCGCGCCCGTCGATAGGGCACAACCGGCTCAGATGTCGAATCGCCTCGCTCGACGAGGGCTGGCTCCGCCGCCTCAGCGGGAGGGCAACATCACCGGCGGAGGCGTAGTCTTGCCGCCGCTGGCAATGTAGCGCGCAATGGCCGCCTGACTCGCCTTGTCCTTGGTCATGGCGGCAAACACTGAGGCGTAGTCGTTGGGATCAAAGGCGGGAGCCGGCGGGGCAGCTTTGGCCTTGCCGTTGCTCTTGACACTGCCGCCGACGCCGCCGCTGCCACTAGGCGCTGCCTCTTGCCGATGGCGATGCTCTGAAGACGGCGAGTGGGTCGCGTCGTCGTGCCCATGGCCGTAGCCGTTGTGGTGGTGGCTGTCCTGGTAGTAAGCGTCGTGGTGATGGCCATCGTCGTGATAGTGGCCGGCATGCGCACCGTTCCTGCTCGCCTCGATCAGCGGCGAGCCCGGGGTCGAGTGCGTATAGGCAGACGAGCCTTCGTCCGACTCGTGGATCGAGTTGCCGCACGAGCACCTCTCCCTCGCATTCGACTGGGAGGTCCGCGACGAGCGATGAGCGCTCTTGGTACCGCCGCTGCCACTACCTGCTTTCCTTCTGGGTGTCTCGTAGCTGTCGTGCGCATGGTCCGTGTGCGGGTGGTTGTGATGGTGGGACTGGTGGTGGTGGTGATGGTGACTTCCACCGGCAGTCGCCGTTGTGGAGCCACCCTCAGCTGCGCGCCTCGCCCTCGCCTGCGCCCGCTTGCGGTTGGCCACAATCTTCTTGCGGCTGCGGCAGGCCCTGAACATCAACGGCGGCTCGCCGTAGAGCAGCTCGTACTCGCAGAACACGCACATCCACTCGCCGTCAAAGAGGCCACAGGTGGTCGACGGGTGGTCGAGGCCGGGCGGCTGCTCCTTCTCGCCGTGGGCCTTGCCGCCGTTGCGAGGGCCGTCCGAGGGCATGCGGGAGGGCACGTAGTTGGCGCGGTGGTGCACGTTGTTCATGGTCGCCTTCTTCCGCCGCGTCATTTTGGGCGGCGGCGAGTGCAGGGGGGGCGACGTCGCTGTTTGCGTGGTCGGACCAACGCCGGAGCTGATGCTTGTACCGGCAACGGCGCTGGCGCCGGCGGCGTTGTGGCTGTGGCTGGTCGACTGTGCTCGCGCCTTGACGTTTGGGCTCGGGTTCGAGGCGCTCGCCGGCGTCTGCCTGACCGCCGTCGCACCCGCCGCTGTCGCACTTGACGGCGCCGATCCTCGGTTCGGTGTCGGCGTAGAGGAGGTGCGTGGGGCGGTCGAGGGAGTCCCGGCACGGGCAATGGTCGACGAGGCAGACCTCGAGGCGGGAAGGCTCTTGTACGGCTCCGAGGGGTTCCTGCGAGCGAGGTCGGCGCTGCCCTCGCGTGCGGCCTTGTCCATGACGTCGGCAAGCGTGCCATCCAGGGGCCCGAGTGGCCCGAGCGAGCTGTTGATCTGGAGCGAGACGGCGCTCATCGAAGCCCGCAGGGCCTCGAGGCTGTCCGCGATGGGCGAGCGTACGTTGAAGTCGAAACTGCTTCGCGGGGCGTCGACGTGCGAGACGAGACCATGGGCCGCCCGCGAACCCAGCAGCAGTTCCACTTCGTCTTCCGAGTCCGCCTTCTTGATGCCCTCGCCCGGCTGCCCGCCGGCTGGGCCCGATTCCACCGCCTGGGCCTGCGCGTCCGCTTGCTTGTTGCCGGAGGCTGCGCCGTCGGGGGCCTCCGAGCCCTGGGCCGGCTGCGTCAGACCCTGAGCTTGGCTTGCGTCGCTGCGCGCCGCCTTGATAGCTGCAATTGACATGGGTTTGGGCCCGCCTGCACCGCCTCGGCGCGCCTGTGCCTTTTTCTCTGCCTTTGTCAAACGCTTCTGCGGTTTCCGTTCGGCCGCTAGCCGCGCCTGCCTCTCGGCTTCCTCTGCCAGCTCTTGCGCCTCGGCTTGTCTGGCTGCCTCATCTTCCTCCTCTCGCTGCCGCGCTCGCTGGGCACGGACCCGTCGGAAGTAGGCCCGCAGCCTCTCCCTTAGCAACGCCTTGGCGCGGCTCGAGTAGGGTATCCTCAGCTTGTATGGCATCTGCCGGAGGGGCGCGTACGTATCAGCCTCGCGTGCGGTCGGAAACCGCTCGAAGCCTCGCTCGTACTCGTCGTTGCTGGCGATGGGAAGGTAGGGCGCAGACCTGGAGCTGGCATCGGATGGTAGCAGGGCCTGGCCGAGTCCGAGGCCCTCGCCAGCGCCGCCGGAAAGTGTCGAGCGGTTCGTCGTCGAAGCTGGTGGCGCGCTGGCTGCCGGCAGGCCGGCAGCAGCTGCGGACGAGAGGGAACTCATGGCATGGGCCGAGGCCATCTCGGCGCTCTCGGTAGACCGCGCATTCTTCCGCTTCTTCTTGTTGCCCGTGTTCTCCAGCCAGGCGAACTCGGCTCCCGAGTCGTCTGCGCCATCGCTGTCGTCGCCGCAGCAGTCGTCGCCCGATACAGTCGAGGCAGCCACCTCCTGGATCCTGTTGGCCCTCTCAACCGGTGGAGCCGGGGGTGGGCCGGCCTGCTGCTCGAAAGGCTTCATGTAGTACCGGCTCATGAGGGCGAAGTGAGCGGCCTTTGCCTCGTCGGCGCAGGAGAGGACGATCTGCGCCATGCGCTGCCGGTAGTAGAAGCCCTGGTTCTGCACCGACACTGGCAGATCAGTAAACTTGAAGGTCGTCGGGTCCGATTCGGTGGCCGCGGCGGCCAAGTTCGCCGTCTCGGCGGCCGCGCTGGGCCGTTCGTCGGTGTCGAGGTTGGCCCGCAGCACGGCTTCCGACAGATGGTCGACGAGAGCCTCTTCGGCGGTGCGCGAAGCTGCCTTATCGAAGCCGTCCGGGTAAAGAGTGGGGACGTGTGTCGGGGTGGCAGGGGAAGGGTGCGAGTTGCCGCTCAGATCGGCCGCATCCCCTTCTGCGGCTGCCATCCCTTGCTGTCGGGTCCGTGGCGAACGCGAGCCCTGCAACGGCACGCTTGACGATGGCGATGGCGCTGCGTCGCCATCATCCTGCCTTAGGGCGGGCAGCCCGCGTTCCTGTATGGGAGACTTTCCGCTTGACGCTCTTCGTGGCAAAGACTGCGGTGGATGCAGGGTGGCGCCAATCAGGACGAGCGTTGTCAAATTCCATGCTCGTGAATCTCCTCGAACGCTGGTGTGAACTTGCGATGGATGGCTTCGAGCCAAGCCAGCTCATCTCGACCTTCACACTGCAAGAGCAGGTCGGTCACCCCAGGCGGTCAAAGCAGGCGAAGTGGCGACCTGCTCGGGGTTCGCTCAGACTCACCTTCAAGGGCCGTCCAATCTTTCGCAGCTTCTCGTCGAGGCTGAGGTCCGAATAGGGCGGCGACACGGCGAGCGCCGAAGAATAGAGCCTCGCTGTCGCATCCAAGTTGTGCGGGTCGAGGTTATCGAACCGGCTGGCCGACTGCTTGAGGGAATTGGCTTCGTCCATCGCGCTAACGACGGGCCTTCCCGGACCCCGTCAGGGTACGGGTTGACCGAGTGAGAGACTCGGTCTGGCAAGACTTAGCTCGGGACAGTCGTCGCCTCTGTCTGGCCGTTGGAGCTGCTGCGGTGGGTTGCAAAGCGAGAAGATCAGGGCGCAACGTGAGTTGAGGACGACTCGCATGCTGCGAGCTCGGCAGCGGACAGGGAGCAGCCAGCTCGGCCCGCACCCGGGCGCCCGCAAGAGGATACGGCGGTTGCTTCGGGTCGGCCCGAGAGTGCGACACCTTCGCTCCCTGCCGGGGCCTTTTGTGCATTCATCCCGTTGGCCCGTCGCCCGGCAAGTGCCTGTGAACTCACCCCGGACCCTTGACTGTCACTTCCTGTTCGGTCCGGTGTCAGGCGCCCGACTCCGGCATGAGACGGATTTGGTGTGGCGTGAGGTGGCACAGGACGGACTCGGTAATGCTGGGCGTGCTGGGCTGGAGGAGGGGTTCGATGGGCTGTCGAGGCGTTGCGAGGACAGGAGGTGGCGTGGCGTGGACGCCTTTGATCGAGTTCCTCCCGGTTCCAGTCTCTACGTGCTCGATGCGGGCAAGGCGGTCGGATGCTGACGGCGTGCAAGGAACAGGTGAGGTCACTCTCCGTGGCTCTCTCTAGGGTCGAAAGACGAGGCGGCTTCCGATGGTGTTGGTCGCAGACTGCAGCGGTGCAGAGTCAGGCGTATGCCGGGTGCTCGAGAGTGGTAGGTGTAGCGTCGGGCAACGACGTGATGGTCTGGTTGGGCGACAGATTGTGGCTGCGATAGGTGTGCTCGTGCGCGTTGTACGTGTGTGAGCGACAGAGGTCGAAGGTGTGGGATGCCAGAAGGATGATCAGAGCAATGCTGCAGGGCAACGACACTCTACCAGGCAGGCTGCTGATGTGGCTCCATCTGCTGATGAGAGGAGCTTTGGGCCTCTGGTCTGGCTGGCTTCGGGCCTCGAGTGTCGGTCTGGCAACTCTGAGCTGGTGCCAGGGACCCGCCCGCAAGCCTGGCCGGGCAAGGCAAAGCGAAAAAAATCCCGCCAGCGCTCACAAGCAGCGCCTGCCTGTGCTCTTGGCCTTTCCACTCTGCCGCCCGCCCAGGCCAGCCCAGGCCAGCCCAGGCCAGGCGAGCCAGCGGGCCAAGCCAGCGGGCCAACGCAGCGTGGCTGCGTGTGGCTGCGTGTGGCTGCGTGCGTGTGAGCTGACCATGGCCGTCCCTTTTTCACAACTCGAAATTCGGAGCAAAATAGAGATAGAGGGCCCCGGCCCAACTCCCGAGGTCACGGCCCAGCCATCGAGCGCACCAGCCACCACCACCACCATCACCATCGCCAGTCACCATCGCTCCTGCTCCAGTCACGTTCCCCTCGTCCCGACCCGGTGTTATCCACGGCCGCACTCGGCTCCATCACCACGTCCAGCGCAGACGACAGCCATTCGATTCGTACCGCGACAGCCACCGGTCTAGGAGATGCGATGGCCGAAGAGATGCAGTCAGGGCAGGAGGCGTGTAGCGGAGGCTCAGGTGATCAGACATCGCGGCGCTCTCGTACAGGACACGTCAGAATGAAAGCAGCAGGCTCGCACACCAATCTCGCAGACGACAATCGGTATCCGAAGGAGCACATCGAACGGGTCAAATTGATACAGTCGGCGGCTTCGTGAGGTGACATCGATCGGACCAGCATGACACGGCAGCAAAGGGAACACTAGAGGGCAGACAAAGGGGGCGAAAGGAGGCACCACGTCGTTGGACGACGGTGCTTATCGACGCGGGTGCTGGCACCGAGGGGCGAGATCTGTGGACGCAATAAAGGCGACGATGTCTGACGGCGTCAGACGCGGCTTTCGGAAGGATCACGGTGCCACGACCGGGAGGAGACTCGAGGGACTCACGACTTTGCGACGCCTCGGCGGCGAAGTATGCAGATGGCCTCAGATGCCGCCGCCACTGCGTTCGGGGCGGACAATCTTGCCGCCAGCCTCGCGCGAGGCCACCTGAGCGGCGCGGCGGGCCGAAAGCACGGAGAAGGAGGCAACGAGGACGGCAGCGCTGCAAACGTCGGGCAAGCGGTACAGAAGACAAGCAGGAAGAGGACGAGACGAGCGTCAGCACGTGAGGTGCTCGTCGGCCGCTGCTGCCAAACTGGTGCCGTTTGCAGCCCGCTGCAGACGGCCCGCCACTCACCCGGCTACGAGGTTCCTGGGACGAGAGAGGACGGTCATGGCGATCGGCGTAGTCGAGGATAATGTGTGTGCTTGAGCGAGTAAGTGGTCCAAGGGCAAAGATATATGGACGAGGGTGGCGACAAGACGATGGCAAGCTGGTGGTCGGACGGTGCAGGCCGTGCAGCGAGGCCCAGAGCTTTTTGTACCTCGGGTTCGTCCCGAGATGTTCGGCCCCCAACCAGAGGTCCCAGGAGAGTGAGGGAGGGCCCCGCAGGCCATGGCTTAGCCGGTCGAGGCTGCGCAGGCCACGGAACAGCCGGCCTGGCCAGGCAGCTTGTGGGGTAAGCGTGCGGCGACCCGTGACGTGCGGCAGGCTGGCGAGACAGGCCGAGGAGCGAGCGGGCAAGCGGGCGAGCGGGCAAGCGGACGAGCCAGCCTTGCAAACAGACGAGGGTCTGGCCCTTGCCATGCCTCGCCCTGCTTGCTTTGGGGCTCCACATCATCGTCGTCGTCCTCGCCCCTGGCCCGACCAGGCCGTGTGGCCCGAGAGACGCCACCTCGGAGCCGTCGTTGACCAGACCAGGCCATGCCGGGCGGTCACGACCCTCACTTCTCTGACGTAAGCACCAGCTGGCCAGTTCGCTCTTGGCTTGGGATGGGCCCAAGCGTCGTCGTCTGGCTCTCCCGAAAGGCCTGAACTGTTCGGCTAGGTCCGCTGCCAACGGTCGCCCGGCTACAGGCCGTCGGAGGCGCCGCCCGCGACGGTTGCTTGTTTCCGCCCGCCGACCTGCAGGCTGGGCTGGGCTTCAAGCTTGCCTGCTGGCTTGCTTGCGCCGTCGAGCGAGCTGCCTGAACCAAGCGGGCTGCCAGGTGCCCCTGCATATCGACGGCCCATCCGAGCCTGCCGCTCGCTGTTCCTCTCTCCCGGCTGCGGATGGCCAGGGCTCGTCGGCCCTGCCGCCTGGCGCCAGCAGGGTTGCCTCACGACACGCCAAGCTGGTTAGCCAGGCGGTGAGGAGGCGTCTCTCTTGCACGTACTGTATATCGTCCAGCACCTCGCCCTAGCCTGCCGTCTGCCTTGCCCGTTACGGTAGGTGGCGATTTATTCTGCCTGCAACCTTGTTTCCGAGGCGCAGCAGCACGGCGGCACATGAATGACGCCAGATGCCTCGGCAAGACGCGGACACGGCTGTGGCCAGGGTCGAGGGTGCCAGATCGAGGCCTAGCCTGGCTTCTTTTCTTCGCGTTAGCGGCGTTGCGGGGGCCGCGTTTAAACGTCCTGCCTGTGGACGGGACAAGGCCGACCCCGCAACCCCTAGCGGGTGTCCTCCCACCCACCACCTCGAGCGACCCTCCTGCAACACCATGGTGAACCTCGTCCGCGGCAGCATCGGCGTCGCTGCCCTCTTTGCCCTGTTTCACGCCACCACTTCCGCGCTGCCGACAGCACCTGGAAGAGGCACCAGCGGACGCGACAACGGCGCCGGCAGCAGCAGCAGCAGCAGCCACGACATCGACATCGATTCGTCCTTCCCACTCTTTGGCATCCAGACGTCCCGCCAGCAGGCCGCTTTCCATGCGCCTGGATCTGGCTTTGAGACGTTCGGCCACGTCTCCTACCCGTCCGACTACTGGGCGCTCGAGGAAGGCGTCGGCCACTTTTCAGAGTGGTCCAAGGCGACAAAGCACGCCTTCCTCCGCGACTGGAGGGACGGCAGGGTCGACGAGTGGACCCTCGTCATGGGCAACGAGGGCGGCGACCTCGACAGCATGACGGCCGCCCTGACGTGGGCCTATCACCTCTCCCACTCCACCCTGCACCACCCGGAGCCCCGCAAGGTCGTCGCCTTGCTCCAGACGCCCGCCGACGCGCTCGACCTGCGTCCAGAGAACCAGCTGGCGCTGCACAACATCAAGATGTCGTCCGGCCACCGCGACCTGCTGACCATCGACGAGCTGCCCGAGAAGCCAGTGCAGCTGGCGCCCAAGGTCGAGGGCATCGTCCTCGTCGACCACCCGGTCCCGCTGCGGGTCTGGAACGGCGCCAAGATCCTCAGCATCTTTGACCACCATACCGATCGCGGCGCCGCACCCAACGCCGAGCCGCGCGTGTTTGGCACCACTGCCAGCTGCACCACGCTCGTGGCCAAGCAGATGCTCGACGAGCTCGAAGCGCTGCCGTCGCCGCCCGGAGAGTACCACGTGCCGCACGAGGTAGGTGCCGTTCCAGCCTTTTTGACGCGGGGCTCCACTTCCTTCCCCTGCACGAGCACTTTGCTGATCCCGTGCCAACGTGCGCGCCCTATCCCAGGTCTACGAGCTGATCCTGGACGCCATTGCCATCGACTCGGACGGCCTCAACCCTAAGAAGAGCGTCCCGTTGGATCGCGAGGTCTCGGAGCGGGTGCTCAAGCGGAGCAACTGGCACAACGAGTCGCTGACCGAGGTCATGGATCGCCTAGACTCTGAGCTTGGAAAGGCCAAGAAGGACCTGGACCACCTCAACGTGCGAGACTTGCTGCGCAGGGACTGGAAGGGAGATGTGTGAGTCCCGCTGGCGGGGGGCTGAAAGGCTTTCCGCGCCCGCGCTCTGAGTCCGTGCTTATCTTTCGCACCCCTCGTGTTGCCCTGCCGTTTCCGCTCGTTGGCAGCGTCGATACGATCTCGCCCCGCACGCCCGCGGTCCACCTCGGCTTCGCCTCGACGCCGGTACCGCTCGATGAGCAGATCAAGCGCACAAGGCACAAGCAGGTAGCCTCGTGGTTCGACATCGAGGACCACTGGACGGCGGAGATCGGTGCCGACATTTCCCTCTGCCTCAACTCGTACAAGGTCAAGATCGACGACGACGGCGTCGAGCAGTTTATCCTGGACGATGAGGACAAGGATGAGCCTGAAGACGAGGATGGAGGAGTGGGGACGATGAAGAAGCAAAAGATCCGCGAGATTATCCTCGTCGTCCGACACGACCGACGCATCGACGAGGAGCAGGCCAACTCGCTCTTCGAGACCGTCTCAAGGGCCATCGAGGCGGACGAGACGCTCAAGGTGGAAAAGTGGCACCGCGCCGACGAGCTCCGTGGTCGAAGGTGGGTTCCCTGCTTGTGTCATCGTCGGCCTGCACTTACCTTGCGAGATCCAGTAGACGAGGCTCTGAACGCACGTCGCCTCCCTCCCTGCCCCTCTCCTCGTCCTCCACGTCCGCTCTGCGCTCACTCACAGGATGGCATGGAGACACTACCGCGAAGACGCCGGACGCAAAGTCGTCCGACCCATTGTCGAAGAAGCTGTGCGCAACTGGGACGCCTAGAGCCCACGGCCCTCGCTCGCTCGCTCGCTCGCTCGCTGCTGGACGGCGAGCATTCGCAACCTCGATACCCTCCCGTCGCCCCCTCTTACTTATCCATCGCATATCGCATCTCCGATCTCTCTCTCCCGCCTCCTCCCCACCATGGCGGGGGGGCAGCCAGCAATCCCACCACCATCAGCCAAATCACGACGGACGCAGAGCAGGAAGAGGGGATCTGCTGCTGGATTGCTTGCGATGCACCTCGTGAGGCGAGGCGGGCGGTATGCGTGTGTGTGTGGGACAGTGCCAGAGGTAGTGCAGGTAGGAAGGTCCATGCTAGGATGTTGAGAGAAGGAAGAAAGTGCAGGAGATGAGGAGTAGAGAGACCGGGGAGAGCGGTGTAGAGAAGACGAAGAGAGGAGACGACGAGGAGCATTTGGTATACTGAGCGCGAGGCGGGGCGATGCGATGCGATCCTCTTGATGAGAAAGGGGGGAAGGGGGCAAAGATGCCCAGAAGGTGGTAGTGGTGATGCCGGATCGGGAGCGGGAGCGGCAGCGGGTGGGGCATTGCTGGAAACCGTGATGATCGTGGAAGGCCGGAGGAACGCCGACGCCGGTCAGAGCCACATACTCTTGGCGGCAGTCGAGGCGTCGGTGCCCTCCCTCGCGTGCCCGGCCCGCTCGACAGTGAGGTGGTTGCCAGTCGAGTACCAGTCGGCGCCGCTCGACGAGGCCGGCATGGCTGTCGCCGATGTGGTGGGCGAGCGCTGCTGCATGGCCATGATGCGTGACGACCTCCTGGATCCTGAGTGGTCGTTCTCCTCGTCCGAGCGGCGCGACGCCAGCTCGTCTTCCTCGGCCGTCGATAGCGGCTCGTAACCCTCGTTTTCGGCGGCCTCTTGCCTCTGCCGGTGCTTGAGGTATCGGCTGAGCGCCATCGGGATCAGGCTGGCGATGCTGAGCAGCAGCAGCTTGATGACCATGTCCCGGTTCCAGATGTGGCTCGCAATCGCCTTCATGCCGCCGCCGCCGCCGCTCTTGAGCCCTGAACCGTCGTCGACGGGCAGCGCCTCGACAATCTCCTGGAGCAGGTCACCCACCTGGCAGGTGACAAAGTTCCACGGGATCGAGCCGACGGCGAGCGTGACGCCGTAAGGCAGCAGCGGGACGCCGAGGACGCCGCAGGCGATGTTCATCAGCCCGTACGGGATGATGGGCAGCACGCGCAGCACCAGCAGGTACGACCAGACGGCGCCGTCGGCGCTGCCGCGCGAGTTTGAGATCATGACGCTGCGCCCCGATGCGTGCGCCCGCCCGGGAGAAAGGGCCCTGCGCATCGCGTCCAGCGGCTTGGCGAGCCCGGGAAGCGAGGTGATGAGCGGCGCCAGCGGTGCCGAGAGGAGATAGCAAAAGACTCCGCCGACCGCAGTGAAGATCGAGGTGTAGACGGTGCCCATGTAGGTGCCGTACATGGCGCCGTAGACGACGTTCATGATGAGGCTGCCGGGGATCGTAAACGACTGCTTCCACGTAAAGAGGGCCGAGATGACGAGCAGGGTGTGCGTGTGCGCCTTGGCGCTGCTCTCCGAGTACCGCTTCAGGCTGAAGGCAATGTCGCGAATCTCGGCCAGCGTCAGGCTGGTGATGTGCTTGGGCAGCGTGAGGGGCAGCGTCGAGATCATAAACGCGATGCAGCTCGTGGCGGCGACAAAGATGACGGCCAGGAAGGCCAGGCGAGGCAGGTATGGCCGGATCGGCGGCAGCGAGATCCGCCACGAGCTCATGTTGATCTGGATCCTCGGCAGGAGAGCGGCCAGGGTACGCCCGAGGCTGTCGATCCGGAAGCTGTCGCTGTCCCACTTGGCAGCGCCGATACGCCCAAAGGAGCGCTCGGACGAGGTCGTATGGGTCGACGTCGGCGTCGGCGGCCGGCTCGAGAAGCCCGACATGAGATGCGAAGGCAGGACTCCCTGCATGTTGAGCGTCGACTCGGGCCGTGTCGGGGGCGAAAAGGGACGTGAAGACGCTATTGGCGAGGATCGGCCCGACGAGGTCGTCAACGGCGGCGTGAAGGGTGCCTGGTTGGGATACGGCGGCGTCGTGGTGGTCGGCCTGCCGCTATCAAAGCTGGCCTGCGCGGCGCTCCAGGGATGCCTGGAAGCGCCGTGATGCCGCGCCTGTCGAGGTGTCACGATCGACGGCAGCTTGCCAGATTGCTCGTAATTGGGTGCCTCGTCCAGATCGCTCGTCGGAGTCAGCGGAGGGCTGTCGGCATTGAAGCCGCGGAGGCCATCTGGACCCGCCGGCCGTGCTGCAGGCATGACCAGGGGCTGAGGCTGTGCCGGGCGGACCTTTGCCTGCCAAGCTGGAAATGTGGGCTTGGCCGCGGGCATCTCGTCCTGTGGCGTTTGTGCCGGGCTTCCATCCTGGTTTGCGCCGCTGGTGAACGACGAGATGAACGAGCGCAGGCCAGCGAGTTTTGGCCGTTGCAGGAACTGGTTCCTTGGCATGGCCCTCTTCTTGTCCGTCGAGTCGTCCGACTGAGCATCTGAGGCATCACTCGGAGAACGTGGCCGAGATCCGCTCGCCGCGTTGGAGTCATCCTGGTAGGCGCCGCCGAAGCCGGAGCGCTCGACATTGCTGAGGACCTCGAGCCCCTGGCCAAGGCTTGCCATTGTCCTGGATCGGTCATGGTCATTGCGCTTGCCCGTAGTGAGGGTGAAGTCGGGGGTGCCAGGGCCACGAAAAGGGTGATGGAGAAAGTCATCCACAACGGGCGAGAGGGGCGTCACGCCGAGGCTCGAGGGGACTGCGATGAGCGACACGCCGTTGGAAGAGATTGATCGTGCGCGAGAGCGAGGGCCGCTGGTCGTGGCGGCAAAAGGATCGCGGCGGAGGGCAGCCGAAGAGGCCTGCGCGTCTGAGCCGTCGGGCAGCCGCTGTGATAAAGGCCCTTCGTGGCCCATGATGTCTTCGATAGAGGCGTGAGAGGCTAGACGGGCCGCTGAGCCTTCGCGGCCGGGCGAAGGGTGCTCGGTCATAGCCCGCTGGAGTCGTGGCGGCGACTGAGGAGGTGGCGATGAAGCCATGGTCGGCAGTGCTCGAGGGGGGACCTGAGCTCGACGGTGCGGCGACTTGGCAGCTGCGGCCGAGAGGGAGTGTCAGGAGGTCCTCGGTGGAGCAGTGGGCGGACGGGGGGCACGCGTGCACCGTCGAGCGCGCAATCGAGACTGGAGCAAAGGAGGTGGGCAAGTTGACGAGGGACGAGGAGCTCCGATGATGGTCGTGGTGGTCGAGAGTAGGGAGGTGGGGCGAGCAGAGTCGAGCGGTAGAGAAGTCGAAGGCAGCGGCTGGTCCGGTGGGTCCGAGGTGTCCGGTAGGTAGGCTGGGCAGCTCACGTCAACCGCCTGGCCGGCCTGCCTGGCCTCTCTATCTGGCGCTCACACATCCACCCGCCCCTGTGTGGCAGCAGGTAGGCTTGGCCGGCTGCACCGCCGCGTGCTCTCAATTTTTCTCCGTTGGCGCTGCGCTGTGCTGCCTGCCTGCCTGCCTTCCTGACTGCCCTGACCGCCAGCCAAGGCCTAGCCTTGGTCCGCCCGCCCTCGTCACGCTACGAAGGTGCCATGCCCGTGGTACACGGCTAGGTGGTGCTCGCACCTGCTTGCTTGCTTGGAGGTCCATGCCAGCTCGTACCGGTAGCGAAGCAGGGGCCAGAGCGCTTCATTCCGAGCGCGGGTCGGATCTGGCTCCTAGGCTGACTGCATCCGGCTGACAAGTCGACCTGCCTGGCGGCCACTTTTTGGGGGGCGGCCAGGGCAAAAAGTTTCCGGGCGCAGCCAGCTGCGACCAACGACGTACGGACTTAGCGACCCGGCGCCGTCCATCCGGCCGGACTGTCTGCGCTGCCCCTCCACCCGAACAGGAGGCTAGGCGGGCAAGCGGAGGATCGACAGACGGCGTCTGCGTCACCCGCTTCTCGGCGTGTGTTTGCAGAGACAGATGCAAGCAGCGAGCAAGCAAAGCAGCAGCGGCAGCACCCTGCCTGGGGGCCAGCAAGCAAGCTGCAAGCGAAACCAACGCACGGCGAACGCAACCACGCACGTACGTCTTCCGCGGAAAACGGGTCCACGCCCCTGCCAGACCGCGCGCGCTTTTCGGCTTCTGCCGCCCGAAACCCCGCCGCTCCGCCCGGATGGCATATGGCAGGCAGGCCCGGGCAAGGCAAGGCACGGGCGATTGGCCGATGCCATCGGAGGGCTTCCGCGGGCCGCCCTGACCTCTCACGAGTCGAGCAAGAGGGGAGCGAAGGGGCGCCGCCAGCATCTCCTAGGCCGGGAGGCCAGGTGCCAACACTTGACCCGGCTTGTGCGGCAGTCGATGCTTGCTTGCTTGGCCCAGCAAGCAAAGCGCGGCCAACCTTTTGCACCTCGGCCAGCCGTGCGTCGTCGTCATGGAAGCCCAGCCAAGGCAGCGTCCGCCCGGCCAAGGAAACGTCCGCCCAGCCGGACGTGCTATCGCAGCGGGGCTGAAGACATGATGGGCAGAAAGCTAGGCGATGGATGCCCGCCAGTCTCTCGTTTCCGTCCCCGCTCACTCCTCCCATCTCCAGGGCGCTGGCCAAGGGGAGGACATGTCTCGATCGGCAGCACGGTCCCGTCATCCATCCTAGCTCAGCTTCCATGGCCAGGAACACTCGATAGAATGCACAGCACGCTCCACACTCTTCTGGCCCTCCGTCATGCCACGTCTGCTCTGCGCGCATCCACAGGGCGGTGCTCGCACACAGCGGAAGAGAACGAAGGCCATCATAAGCACAGCCTGCTTCATGGAACAGCACAAATGACAACGTGGCGGTGCGGGGTGCCCCGCAAACGACGTTCCATCGGAACAGGACCTCCTCCTCCACCCGGACCGATCTTCCACTACTACCGACGAATACTGTAAGCGTGCCTTCGTCTCGGCCCGACCGACGGCTCGTCGACGGCGCTCGGGCTTGCTAACCTCCATCGCGCACGGATCAGTGCTGCGGCCTCGGCCAGTGCTCGTTGGCGAAGTCCACCACGTCCTCCACCAGCGCCTGCGGATGGTCGAGTGCGGCAAAGTGGCCGCCGTACTCGTGCTGCCTGAAGTGCACCAGGTTAAATGACGAGCGAGGGAACCAGCTGCGCGGTCCGCCCAGGATCTCGTGGGGGAAGGCCGAGTGGCCGCTCGGCTTGTCCTTGACGGGGCCGAGGAGTTTGAGGCCTTCCTTGTACCACAGCTTGGCCGACTCCTTGTAAGGCAGGAATGCTGTCGAAGAGCAGTGCGATCCACAGCGTAACGTCAGCACCTTGCAGTCAGTCTCTGCAGAGCAGCCAACCATCCAAAGCGCGAGCTCACATGTGTGGATGCTGCCGGTGAGGTAGTAGATCATCACGTCGATCCTGTCGAGATGTCAAGCAGGCAGCAGCAGTGACGCCACACGGTCAGCCACCGTTCTCACCGCTCGACCACGCAATGCCGGCACTCACAGGACGCTCTCTTCTGTCATCTCGGACTCCCTGTTGCCCTTGCCACGCTCGGCGAACGCAGGGCAGCGCGGGTCGGACCAGTCCTTGAACTTTTCCAGGAACCACGCGAGGATGCCGACTGGCTCGTCGTAGAGCGCATACCCCAGCGTGGCAGGCCGCGAGTTCTGGATGATCAAATAAGCTGCGTGGCGAAGTTGGCAGGCATCGAGTAGGGCCAGACAGCGCCAGTCGTCAGATCCCGCACCTCCTTGGTTCGTCCCGAGACGGCGAGACAGGTCGCACTCACCGTTGCCTTTGGTGATGTAGTCCTGCGACCTCAGCAGCGCCGAGCATTCTGCGTCCGTGTAGCCGAGCAGGCCGAGATGGCGGGTGAGCTGGAAGCCGCTCAGCCTCTCCACCGCCATGAGCGGGTACACCCAGGTGGGCATGCTGGTGGGTGGCGCAAAGTTAGTGTGGTAGATCTTGCACGCCGGGTAGACGGAGAGGCAGCGCGACACGACGGTGCCCCAGTCACCGCCCTGGGCCATGTAGGCAGAGTACCCGAGCACCGAGGTCATGAGCGTATTGAAGACGCGCGCCGTGTCAGTGAGCTGCCACCCTTCGCGAGGCGGCTGCGACGAGAGGCCGTAGCCGGGCAGCGAGGGGACGACGACCTCAAAGGCGGGGGAGCGGTTCTCGACCAGCCTCGCGGCGAAGTGGGAAGCCTCTGTGAACGCGCCAGGCCAGCCGTGCGAGAAGATCAGAGGGATTGGAGGCATCGGCGGCGCCTCCTTTGGCTTGAAGTGCTGGTAGTGGACCGTGACGCCCTCGATCTCGACCTGGTAGTGGGGATATCTGAGAGCGCGTGGCCGTGCAGCGGAGCAGAGCCGGGCCTAGCCCCCATCAGCACACGTCGAGCGTCCATGAAGCGGAGGCACGAACCGGTCGACTCACTTGTTGAGCTGTGCCTCGACCGAGCGCCACCAGGCCTTGACGCCGCGACCCTTTTCGCCCAAGGGTCGCTGCTGGCTGTCTTCGGGATTGCCCGACCTCCAGTGGGACAGAAACCTTTCGAGGTCGGTGAGATCGGTGCCATACTCCTTGGGGTCCTTGATGCCCTCGACGATGGGCTTGGCGGGCAGCCTTGCATCGTCGAGCTTGGCCTGGAGTCGATCCAGATCGGCCTCGGGAAAGGCGATCTGGATCTGCCTCGGCTTGCCCGCTTGCGACATCCTGGCTCGTGTGCTCGGATTGCTGGGATCAGATAGAGGGCGGCTTGCTGCGCTGGCGTCGTTTTGGCGAAAAGGTGGCCGGCTTTGTGGGTCGTCTGCTGCTGTTGTGTCTCGGTGGCGAGGCCTCAGCGGATGGAGGTCGATCGGTTGGAAGCGGACGTTGGCAGCTGGCCAGATCTTGCGTGCTGGGACGTGCGCAAGCCCACCCGCTGTCTTTCGCCTCCACTTCCCGGCTCGAAGCAAGCAGCCGATCCGATCCGATCCATATCCGAGGCTGACAAGGCGGGGCAAGGCCCTCCCAGCATGACGTTGGCCAGACGCGGGGCCGAAGATCTTCGAGGCTGGCCGAAGCTGGCCCGCGCCGCTCTCTTGCGGCCGAGAGAAGGCGCAGCCTTCGGACAAAGTCCGAGGCCGACGAGGGGATTTGGGCCGACGCCGACAGCACCGGTCGGGCAGCTGGTGGGTCGAGCACGCCATCCTGGACCCTGCAGACGACAAACGCTGGCCTGCCTGGCCCGGGACCTCTTTGCCCTTCTCGGCGAAAAGTCCGGTCTTTGGCATTTCCCGCTCCACGGGAACCGGCCCTCATGCCGACGGTCGGTGGCGCCGCCAAGCAACGAGCAACTGGCCTGGCCTGGCCTGGCTTGGCTGACTGCCCTGCCAGGCTGCTCAGCAGTCGCACCCCCTGGCCTGCCTGTCATGCTGGCTCGTGTGGCGGCAAAAGCAGCTGACCTTGCGACATCGCCCCAGGGGTCATGGCGGGAGCGGGAGAGCGACGACCGAAAGAGGGCCATTCCGAGCCACCAGGGGGCCAGGCAGGGCAGCGCAGGGATCGTCGGTGTTGGTTGACAGCAGCTCAGCCTCCGCGAGCGAGCACGCACGCCCGCCCTCTCCGTTTGGATTTTTTCTTTATCGCCGTCGCCCAGAGGTTCAGGCACGCCGCGGCCACAAATTTCTGGTACACGGCGGGCGGGCCGACGGGTCGCCATCCGATATAGATATCGAGGGCCATCCGCTCCATCTGCCGGTGTCGTCTCTCTCCTCATCCACCTTTCCCTCTCGCCACCACCAACACCAGCACCGCCGCCGCCACCTTCGCTTGTGGCTCTCTTCCCTCGTCACCGGATTTGCCCCGTTCCCCTCGACGCCCGCCGCACCAGCAGTCGGACTGTATCCGGACCTCCTCCAAGTTTGGCCTCTCTCCATCACCTTCCCACCGCCATGACCGTCCCTGCAGTCGCCAACGGCAGCGGCCACACCGCCTCGAGCTCGACCGCCTCCTCCTCCCAGAATGATGCCGGCCACCACGCCGCCGCCTTCCAGGGCTTCTCCACAAAGGCGATTCACATCGGTTCGGAGCCCAACCCCGCGACCGGAGCCGTCATCCCCCCCATCAGCCTGAGCTCCACCTTTGCCCAGGACGGCATCGGCAACCACAAGGTGAGTGTCGCCTGACGCTGTTTTGCTCGCGAGCGAGCCGACCTCTGTGCTGACATGGCTGTGCTCGCCCCCTCGCCCCTCCTCGCCGCCTGCACCTCAACAGGGCTACGAGTACTCCCGATCCGGCAACCCCAACCGCGACTCGTTTGAGCGCGCCGTCGCCGCCCTCGAGAACGGCACCCGCGGCCTTGCCTTTTCGTCTGGATCGGCCGTCACGGCCACCATCCTCAACTCGATGCCCGCCGGCTCCCACGTCGTCAGCGTCAACGATGTCTACGGCGGCACCTACCGCTACTTTACCAAGGTCGCCACCGCCTCGCAGGGCATCACCACCAGCTTTGTCCAGATGGACGGCGCAAAAGACGAGGTCAAGGAGCGCGTCAACCAGGCCATCCGCAAGGAGACGTCGCTCGTCTGGATCGAGACGCCGACCAACCCCACGCTCCGCGTCATTGACGTCCCCCTGATTGTCAGCCTGGTCCGCTCCCACCCGCTCGCATCGCCCGACGTCAAGATTGTCGTCGACAACACCTTCATGAGCCCCTGGTTCCAGAACCCGCTCGACCTCGGCGCCGACCTGGTGATGCACAGCGTCACAAAGTACCTCAACGGCCACAGCGACGTCGTCATGGGCATCGCCGCCCTTAACGACGACGAGTGGGCCGACCGCCTGGCGTTCCTGCAGAACTCGATTGGCGCCGTCCCCTCGCCCTTCGACAGCTGGCTCGCGCTGCGCGGCCTCAAGACGCTGTCGCTGCGCATGAAGGCGCACGGCGAGTCGGCGCTCGCCATTGCCCAGTACCTCGACTCGCACCCGGCCATCGAGACGGTCATCTACCCCGGCCTCCCCTCGCACCCCGGCCACGAGGTGGCCCGCCGACAGGTGACCAAGCGTGCCCGCTCGGCGCACACGGCGTCGACCGAGAGCGGCGCGTTCCCCTACGGCGGCATGGTGTCGTTCCGCCTCAAGGTGGACCCATCGGACGACGCCCCGGCGGACAAGGTGCTGTCGAGCCTGCGGATCTTTACGCTGGCCGAGTCGCTCGGTGGCGTCGAGAGCCTGATTGAGCTGCCCAGCAAGATGACGCACGGCAGCGTCGCGCTCGAGGACCGGATCCGACTGGGCATCGGCCACAACCTGATCCGAGTCAGCGTCGGCCTCGAGGAGACTTCGGACCTCATCGAGGACCTGCGACAGGCGCTGGCCGCCGCTGGCCTCTGAAGGAGGGCGACGTTTCTCCAGCTTCCTTCCGATATCTTGCCTCTACGCCGCCGCCACCCGCTTCCAGTCATACCCCACTCTGCTATCTCCTCGACCTGGCTCGGATCCGTGCAGGATAGAGGCCAACGCTTCTGGCCATCCTTGCAACCCTACGCAACCTAGCACGCATGCACGCTCCGCCCTGCCTTCGACCCGCCCCGCTCCGCCTCGCCGTTTCCTTCGGCCAGCCAGATAGAATTGCCGTCATCCCCCCTTGCGCTTCTGCACCATGTGTTATCATTTCTGTCTTTTGGCGCCCCGTCGCCCGCTACCGCTTTGCCTTGCTCAAGCCCAACGACGATCCTCGTGACAACCGTGTCCTTCCGTTCGTCCGCAGGGAGCTCTGTGGGACTCGAGAGTCTGACCAGGTGTGGCTCGCACGTGTTGGTGTCGGTGTGGGTGTGGGTGTGAAGGCGTGGCAGCAGGGCCAGGGTCGGGGTTGCGGGGTAACTAAGCAGCCCAACCGTACGTGCTGATGTCACCCGCCCTGGGTCAACCTTTTTCTTTTCCCAGCCAAGCGGGAAGATCCGTCCTCCACAAATAAAAATCGAACCCGGCTAGGGCCTTCGCCTCTCTCTTCTTCGACGTCGCTCTGCTTTGCCGCCGTTGGCAGGGCTGACCAGCTGACCGAAGCCGGCAGCCTACACTCGCTGGCCCGTTTGCTGGCCCTGGCCATCGGCGTCAACGGGCAAGCCCTCTCTCTGTCCCTCCTGGTCCTTCCTGCTCGACATCGTCCCACCATCTTCTTCCCGCCCGAACATCCCACCGCATATCCAGACGGCGGACAACGAGCCGCACAACGACGACGATGCGCGCCTCTACCTCGATGCCCAGCACGTTGCGCGGCATCTCGACGTCGGCGCGGACACAGGCGCAGCGCTCCGCCACGGTGCTGGCGCCACCCCGTACCACGGCGTCGCGCTCCCTCGCCGACGGACGGACGACGTCGCCACCCCGCCTCGTTCCCCCCTACGTCGGGCCGGCATCCGCCTCGTTTCCCTCGGTATCCGCGTCGAGCCTGACAAGCAGGGGCCCGCAGAGATGCGTCCAGGACTCGTTCCGACGCCTTACCATGTCCAGGAGGGGGTTCGTCTCTTCCTCATCGCTACCTCCGCAAACGGGCAAGCAGGGTGCAACGCGGGGATCAAGCGAGGCTCTTCTCGGTGCCGTAGCGGCAGCGTCGACGGTCGTACTCCTCACGCTCTACACATCGGGCCAGGTATTCGCAGACGATGCCAAGAAAGACGACGACGGGACGACGACGACGAAGAAGAAAGACGACGAAGGACCGACGCTCCTCGTCCTCCTTGGCTCGCCACGATCCGGCAAGAGTACGCAGGCGCAGCGTCTGTCGAAACGCTTCAACCTGCCCATCCACCCATCCTCTTCATCACCGACACCACCCCCCGAAACCCAGCTGTACATCTACGAGCTCGCCGACGCCACCCCGTCCGCCGTAGAATCGCTGGAGAAGGGGTCGGCGCCCATCTGGTGCATCCTCTTCTTCGACCTGCCCCTCGACGCCTACCGCAAACGCTTCCCGGACGACGACGAGGGCGCAAAGAAGCTAGAGCGCCAGAGGGACGACGTCATCCGCGTCGTCAAGCGCTTCCGCGACCAGGGGAACATCCTCGAGATCTCGGCAGACTGGGAGTCGCCCGACGAGGTGTGGGAGCAGGTCGAGGCCAAGGTCGAACAGATCCTCGAACTCAAGGAGCGCGGAGAGGAGCTGGGCTGCTAAGGTCGACGACGAGCAGGTGGTGGTGCTGCTCCCAGCCAGCGACAACGACTGCTGGCATGGAACGATGGCCGCATGGCCGTGACGATACGATCCCTCATCCTTTGCATCATCGACGACAGACCCATCTCGGCCCTCCATTTGTAGCATACGACGTACATCGTCCTGTCATCATCGCTTCTTCATCCGTTCGGCAAAATCTCGATGGCGTCTGGTCATTGATTGTCCTGTTGCGAGCCAAGGCGGCCGTCCTGCTATGATGCCGGTGTCGACGATGCTGCCGAGGCAGTGTCCGCCTGTTCCCCTTGCTGGACCTCTACCTCTTCTCTAGCCTGCTTCTCCTCCTGCTCCTCGTCACTCGGAGAGCCACCCTCGCCGTCCTCGCTCTCGTCATCGGCGGCCAGCAACTGCGGCAGCCTGCCCGGCTCTGCGCCCGCAAAGAGCCACACGTGGCTGTCCAACAGCCGCTCGGGCTCCTCGACGGCCTTGCCGTGTCCATGCGCCGCTTGACCGCCACCGCTGCGCTCGTCGTCCGTCTCGGCCGGCACGACGACATCGTCGCCGACGACCTCCTTGACGGGCTTGGCGCGAGGCAGCGTCCAGCCGAGCTTGGTGCAGATGTAGTCGACGATGCGGTCCGCCTCGCCCAGCAGCATGATGTCGACCGCGATGTGGTAGACGGGCGCCTGGTTGATGAGGATGACGGGCGTCGAGTGCGGGATGTGCGACACGAGCTCCGAGACGGGCGCCACCTTCAGCGAGGTGCCCATGACGATGAGCAGGTCGACGCTCTCCCGGTCCGCCAGCAGCGCGCGGTCAAAGGCGTTGGACAGCTTCTCGCCGAAAAAGGTAATGTCGGGCTTCATGATGCCGTACGCCAGCCCGTCATCGTGCTCGTCGTCGTCGCTGTCGTCGTGCCTGCTGCTCGCCTTCCTGCTCCCGCCGCCGCCCGCCTGCCCGTTGCCCTTGCTCCTCTTGGCCGCCTTGTCCTTGCCGCCCTTGCGCTTGCGCTTCCTCTCTTCGCAGCGCGGGCAGTCCGGGATGCGCTTGGCAAAGATGTCGTCCTTGATGTCGGAGCCGTTGGTCCTGTACCCGCACGCCGGGTCGGTGCACGTGGCCGTGGCAAACGAGCCGTGGCACTGAAGCACCCTCTCGATGCCCGCCAGCTGCTCGAGCGTGTCGATGTTCTGCGAGTAGTTGCGCAGCAGCTGTCCGCGCTCCTCGAGCAGCTTGATGAAGCGGTGCGAGGGCGACGGCGCAAAGTTGCTCGGAAAGATGCGGTGGGCAAACGAGTAAAAGAGGCGCGGGTTGCGCAGAAACACCTCCTTGTGGAACATGTCGGTCGGGTCGTCGAGATCGCCAAACTGCGGGTCGCGCTGCAGCTGGGCGTAGATGCCGTCGCGGGAGCGAAAGTCGGGGATGCCGCACGAGACCGAGATGCCGGCGCCGCTGAGGACGACGATGCGCTTGCTGTTTGCGATGAGCGAGAGGGCGTCGTCGACGGTGTTGTACTGCGGCAGCTTGTCGCGGTTGCGCAGGATGCGCGAGAGGGCCGTCTTGAGGAGCGGGTAGAGCTGGCGGTCCGTCATGTCCTCGAGCACGATCTGACGCGGCAGGAGCACGCCGAGCGCCGCCAAGAGGTGCTTGATCTTGCCGCTGTAGAGCTCGACGTATTCGGCAAAGAAGCGGACGATGCCGTTCTGCTTGAGGAACTGGACCATGCCCTCAACCTTTTCCGGAGGGAAGAGCAGCGTGACCTCGTCGAGGAAGCGGTCCTGCAGCTGGTCGCCCTCGTCGTCGGACGCCTCGGCCTCGGCGAATGCCTCGAGCTCCTCGAGCTCCTCAGAGTCGAGCTCGCTCAGCGTCGGGCTACCTGGAGCATGGCTGGAAGGCAGCGCGGGGGGAGCACGCGGGCCATCCTCGGCGGTCGCGGTCGCGGCTGCGGGTGCGGGCGAGCTCGGATGGTCGACGGTGGAATGGTCCGGGCGCACCTCGGTGTTGGGGATCTCCTTGGACGGTGGTGCGCCCGCGGTGGCGGCGGCAGGGGCCGCGTCCGCTTTCGCCTCTACGACCATCTCGGTGGCGATGGTTTGGAGGATGAGCGGCCGTAAGGGGGGAGCAGAGGGCGCCCTGTGACAGACGAGAGGCGGAGAAGCAAGAAGGAAGCTGGAAGATTGAGGGTAGCGGCGGCCCCCTGCAGCCTGTTGGATGTGGAGCAGGCCGGACCTGCCCTGCTTCTGCTTCTCTCGTGCGAACCAGGCGGCGACGAGGTGGATTCGGAGAGAGAAAACTGTCCAGAGTCGTCAGCGCCGCTTGCAGCGGGCTTGCAGGCGAGCCAACCCCTTTTTCCTGAATTGGCCCCAAGGCAGCCAAGCGGGCTGCCTCTGCCGCAGCCGCCAGGGCCAGCCAGGGCCAGCCAGCCGGGAGGCCCTGCCTCTGACGCGGCCTCGCCCTGGAAAACCCAGCGGTCGGCCCCTCCCCCCCCCGCCCTGGCCAGCCCAGTGGGCTAGTATATAAACGTGGACGCCCGCCCGCATCCCCCCTCTCCCTTCCCCCATCGCGCTCCCTCCTTTCCGGGTCAAGGAACTTCAAAATTGCCTGTAAGCATCCACGCCATCCCATTCCATATCCTTCCCGCTCTCGTACACGGCATCGCAACGTCCGCATCCTCACACTCTCGCCGTCCTCCTTTTCTCCTCGTCACCATCCACCAGTTTACCATTTTGAACCATAATCTGGGAAGGACCTCGTATGGGAGTTGATCCGAATTTTTCTTTCCTCTTAGTCGCCGACTGCTCGTTTCTCTCGAGACGTTCCTCGCGCTCGCCTACCTGGTCGCCATTACCTTCGAGCGCCGACCCGGACCGACACTGGCCAGTACGATCCTCGCACCCCGCTCTGTTGAGAGGGACGAGGCGCGGAACACCGGGTGCGTCTCCAGGCGGCTGCTCAGGTGACTGTGGCTCGGCGGCAGCTTGGATGCTCGTTGGGTCGATCTTTGGCTTCTATCGTCGTGGCTGTACTGTCTTGCTTGCAATGGAGCGATGCTGTCGTCATCATACCTCTCTCTGTCGTGTCGTGTGTTCGAGCGTCCTTCCAGATCTTTGGCGGAGCAAGCATGCGCTTTGACGTTGCTGTGACCCCTGGCTACCCGCCCCCTGCACCACAAGTCTCTCTTTGCACGACTTCGACGTCGTCGGCGTACGGCTCACCCGCCTCTGTGGCAGCGGTCGCTTAGAACAGCACTCCAGTCGTGGCACGGTGGTGGGGGCATGGTGCGATCCATTGAAGGTGATGCATAGAAATACAGGGGGTGCAAGAGGTGACGACATGGCCCGAAGGGATACAAGAGGCGCAGAAGAGACAATGCGACGAGACGGTCAAGTGGCAGAGAGAGATTGAGAGCAGGCGCGAGGAAAGCGCGAGGACAGCTGGCTGGCTGGCCGGCTGGCCGGCTGGCCGGCTGCCTCGGATGACGGGGCAGTCAGGGAAAGAAGGTCGGACGGAAGGAACGGCTGGAGCCTGCCTCGTCACTACTTCTTCCTGTTCTTGCCCACGCCGCCGCGGCCGCCCTTGCCGTTGGCGCCGACCTTGGGACCGCGCTCCTTTGCCTTGGCCTGCACCTCGGCGCCGCCCGGCTTGGGTCGGCGGCTCTTGTTCTTGACGTTGGCATGCGTGTAGTAGTTCTCGGCCTTCTTCTTGCTCGTCGTCATGCGCGTCCCCTTCTTCTGACGCTTGCTGTCCTGGTCCGACTCGTCGTCGACGTCGTCGACCGGAGCGCGCTTCTTGCCAGGAGAGGTGGCGGCAGCCACACCCTCCTGCTCCTCGTCGTCCTCGTCTGCGGCGCCATCGACGCCCTCGTCAGCGTCCTCGCCGCCCTTGAAGACGTCGTCCCACCCGAGCTCCTCGAGTGCATCGTCGTCGTCTTCATCCTCGTCCTCATCATCGTCCTCGTCCTCGTCGTCCTCGCCATCCTCTGTGAAGGCGTCATCGTCCTCGCCGATGGCCGTCTCGGGAGCCTCGTCGTCCTGGTCACGCTCCATCTCAAAGTCTTCGGGCACGCCGCCGTCGACGTCCTCCTTCGTAAACTTGGTGACGACGGCGATCTGGGCGAGGGGCTGCTCGACACCCTTGACAGTCTTCTTGCGCACCGCCTTTTCGAGCGCCTCGGTCTCGGCATCGACGGCCGACACGACCGCGTCGGCGGCCTTCTCCTTGCCCTTGCCAGCAGCCTCAGCCTGGCCGGCGGGAAGCGGAGGTGCGACAAAGAAGGGGATCTTGCCGCGGATCCAGTCGTTGAGCACCATCTTGGCGCACGTCTCGTAATCGGGCTCTCCGCCCTTGAGCAGCTTGCCGCCGCGCTTGGCCAGCTGGCCGAGGAAGTCTTCGGTGCTGTCCCACTTCTGCAGGTTGTAGGTGCGCTTGATGTACTCGGGCTTGACGCGCGAGAGCAGCGCCGGGATGTGCTCCGAGGGCGTCTCGAGGTTCTCGACGCGCACCACTCCCTTGAGCACGGTGCCGGTCTCGGAGTCGCGCGCGCTGACGGGCACGATACCGGGGCAATCGATCAGGTAGATGCGGCGCATCAGGGTGATGTACTGCCACACCTTGGTCTCGCCCGGGATCGGCGCCACGGTGCAGACCTTCTTCTTCTTGAGCGTGTTGATGATGGAGCTCTTGCCCGTGTTGGGGTAGCCGACAAAGCCGACGCTGATCTGCTTCTTGTCCGAGTGGAGCACGCTGAACTGGCGCAGCAGCTGGATGACGGAGCCCTTGCCGAACGAATTGTTGATCGAGGCGTGGAACGCCAGCGTCGGGTACTCTTTGGACAGGATCTTGACCCATCGAGCCTGCGCGAACGACAACAGCGGATCGATCGAGGTAACTCAGGGTCAGCTCTCGGCCCTTCGGGCGCGTGCGCGCATGTCTGCTTGTCCGGATCATGAGAACAGCGACAGGGCGGGAGAGGGGATGTTCGTTCCAAAACTACGAGCTCGAGGCGGACGCCGGCAACACCACCCGAAGGCGGACTGGACGGCAGCCTCGAAAACTCAACTCATATCAGAACGCCGGCACCCGACGCTCCAGGCCCTCCCGCCAGCCTTGCCTCCAATGGCGGGAGGAGGCAAAGAGGTGGTTGCCTTGCACCCTCCCCGAAGGGAGCGTGGTCGGCAAGATGAGGGGGAGATCATATCGGGGCTGTTTCTCTTCCACATTCGTAACAGTCAGTGCGCCATGGTGTATGCTCCAAAAGGCTGGAGGCGCGAGACTTGACATGATTGTGGGACCAGGGCGGGTCGATGGTCGGCGGAACGGGGGGATGGAGGGAGAGGCCGAGGACCAGAGGAACCAGGGGCAGGGGACGGAAACGGCAGCGGCGCAGCAGCGCAGAACACTCACAGTGACCCAGGTGGGGACGAGATCGACCTTGTTGAGGAGGAAGACGAGATGCTTGTGCGGCTTCTCCTCGCGAATGTGCTTTTCGACGCTCCTGCAGCGGGTGCCGAGCGGGTCGCGCGCGTCGAGGACGTGGATGATGACGTCGGAGCTGTCGATGACCTTGTAAAGCTCTCCCCAGATTCGCCTAGACTGGCCCTTGCTGTAGATTGGCTCGGAGCGTCCGCGCTGGACGGGGATCATGTAGGGCTCGTCGCCCTGGGCGGCCGAAGACGAAGACGCAAGGCCAGAGCCAATCTCGTAGTCGTCGGGCACGAGCCCGACTCCGGCCAGCTTTGCCTCGGCGGCGGCGGCCTTTTCGTCGGCCTGCTTGCCCATGGCCTCGCTGCTGGTGGCGAGGTCGGCAAACGAGCTCATGGAGCCGTCGAGCCTAGGCTTCTTTCGCTGGGCGCCGGGGCCAAAGGTGTCGGAGAAGGGCTCGAGGGCGGTGAGCGAAGGGGCCTTGCCCTTGGCCGGGTCCTGGATGAGCGACATGGGCAGCTTGTTTCTCCGCAGGAGGACGCTGTAGGGGTCGTTGACGCGGGACTCGAGCGAGGTGCGGAAGTGGTCGAGGGCGTCCTGGGAGATGACGCGGGTGTTGCCAAACCAGCGCTTGTCGGGCTGGACGCGCCCGGGCTTGGCCTCGCTGCTCTGGAATTCCTGAGCCTGGATGATCTTGCCGCTGCGGTCGCGGATGGCTTTGGAGGCGATGCCGTCCTTGGAGAGCATCTTGACCGTCTTGGCCTGCTTGGCATCGCGGTAGAAGTTCTCACCCCTGGATTAGAGCGAGATACAGCAATCATCAGAGGCGGCAGGAGATGCGGAGCGATGGGTGGTCAGAATGATTGTCGTTGCGGTCGCCACCTCGCGCCATTTTTGCACTCGGCCACCCATACGACCGAGACTCACTTTACGCGCTTCATGCCGTTGGACGACCTCGCCTTGGCGGAGCCAGCTCCCTTTTTGACGACGACCATCTTGGATACTTTCGGGGTGGCGGAGCGGTTCTATGAAAAGGGTAGGCCGAGAGGGCGGTCGAGGGCTGTGTTTGGGGGAGGTGGTGAAGGGGTATACGGTTGCAAGAGTCACGGGTATGGTGTGGCGTGTCCGGAAAGGGTGCGGAGGCCTATGCACTGGAACAGCGCGGCGTCGACGTCGAGCGCTGCAGGCAGGTGGGGGAGGGAAGGGCGGGGAGCGAGACCGAACGATGCCAGCAGACAAAGTGATGGGATCGGATCGACGTGATGGGCGGAGAAAGGGAGGACGTGAGGATTGGGTGACCTAGAGTATGGAGGGGGAGGCAAGGTGAGGAAAGAGGGGCGAGGGGCGTGGCTCCCTCTGCCGCCAAATTTGTAGCGCGCTGCCAGGAAGTTGGAAAAAGTCGAGCGGCGAGGAAAAATTTCCAGCGTGGGGGCGGGCCCGCCCGCCATTTCCCCCCCCTTTCCCCTCTTTTTTTTTTTCTCTGCTCGCCCATTTTGGAGCCCAAGCCGGTGGCCGGCGGAGCCACTGCGGTGGGTCGACGTGGCCGCCTCGGGTCCGCCTTTGAAAGCGAGGCCAGGCCGGCACACGGACCAGGCGCGAGGACGTGGCACCCGCAATCCGAGAAACGGTCGAGGATCTGCAAGGGGCCAGAGGGGGCGCAGGCAGGGCCAGGGTCTCGGGCGCTCTCGCTCCTGCCGTTACGGGTACGGGTACGGGTACGGGTAGCTTGCCTGCCTTGGCGGTGCCCACGAGCTTCGGATGGGCCGCCCATCGTGTGAGTACGTGGCGGCAGATGGGGCGGTGCGTGTTTTCAGAGCTGCTGAGCCTTCGGCCGGGGGTGGATGCTCGACGAGGCCTGCCCAGCAAGCTCCAGAAAGCTTGTTCGCGCGCGCGTGGAACCCATCAGGCCTGGCCTGTCCTGGCCAGGTCCAACCAGCCCTCTTTGCCTGGTGAAAAAACACCACCGCATCCCGTCCAACTCCTTCGCTCCGTCTCACCACCACCACCACCACCGCCATCGACACCGTCCTCCCCATCTCCCCCCGTGTCGCATCTCCTGCCCGCCCCAGACATCACCCACGTCCTTCATCCAGTCCCTCGCGCACCCCGACCATCGCACGCGGTGTTTCGGCCCGGGCCTGCACCGCTTGGCCCAGCATGGCCGACACTGAGCGAGCCGCCACCACCCTGGCAACCCCCGCGCACCCAGCCGCCACCACCAACGCCGCCGCCGCCGCTGCTACCGCTTCCTCTTCCAACGGCGACGGCGACCACGAGATGTCGGCCGTGGATCAGAGCGCGGCCGCAGGCTCCGCCACCGCGCCCACCGTGGCAGGCGGAGCTCAGCCCCAGAGGGCCGACGTCTGCCCCGCCTTCAACACCCCCGCCGGATGCCAAAACAGCGGATGCCAGCTCTTGCATCAAGCAGGCGCGGTAGACGCAGATGGAGCCGCTCGAGACCCGGCGACGCCCGCAGCCCCCGAGAGCACCCAAGGTCCACTGCTTGTCAAGTCTTGCAAGCCCTGCATGTGGCATCGGGCCGGCTCCTGCCGTCGAGGCGAGGAATGCTGGTTCACGCACGATGTCACCTCCGGGGACGGCCGCGGTACGGAGCAACCAGGCGCAGCACAGCCCGGCGCGGCCTCCTCGTCTGCCGGACCATCGTCTGGGCCTGCCGCTCAGGCTGCCGCCGCCTCAACTGGTCCCGGCAGCGGCAACGTCCCGGCCAATGCCGCCAACGGCCCCGCTTCCGCCACGGCGCAGACCACACAGGAAGCTTCAGCGGACGCCGAGACTTGCAGCATCTGCATCGAGGTCCCCGCCATCTACGGGCTTCTCGAGCATTGCAACCACGTCTTCTGCCAGGACTGCCTGCGCAAGTGGCGCAAGACGCAGCGACGCGTCGAGACGTTCCGCAACTCTGACGTCACGCAGCGGTGCCCAATCTGCCGCGCCCCAAGCCACTTCGTGGTCCCTTCCCCCATCTCGCTGAGAGACGAGGACAAGACCAACTTCATTGCGACCTTCAAGCAGACTCGATCCAAGCAGCCTTGCAAGCACTTCGAGAAGAGCAAGGAGCAGCAGAACGTCCTCTTCTGCCCCTTTGGAGACGACTGCCATTACGCTCATCAGATCACGCCCGACGGCCCGCGCCACCTCTTTGGCCGCGGCGCCACCGAATGCCTGCACCAGTTCCGCCGTCGAGGCAGGGCTGGTGCCGCCGCAAACCAGCAGGGACAGCAAGCTGCAGGTCAGCAGGGTCAGCAAGCTGCGGCTCAGCAGGGTCAGCAAGCTGCGGCTCAGCAGGGTCAGCAAGCTGTGGCTCAGCGAGCGGCTGGCCAGCCGGCTGCGGCTCAGCAAGCCGCCGACGGCCAGCGAGCTGCTGTCCAGCCAGCCGC